GCCACTGGGCCCTTCCCACATTCCCATGTATACGTGAGCACATCGATGGCCGACAAGCGGTGTCCACTCCCGGCCGTTTCGAGGCTTCGGTGCAATATGCAAACAATAGAATGCCATTTTCAAGAGCAGGGGTCTCTCCGAAAGCCAAGATTGGATGTGGCAGTGCTCTACTTTCACCTTGAACCAGATCTGGGGGGCACACAGGTGGCGCCGGATTAAAAATGGGCTGCAGGGGGAGACCCGCTGCTGGCTACAAGCTCTTTGATGCCGCTGGAAAAGCGGGAAACTTGAGATAACGCGAGGAAGCATAGTTTATAAAATAAAGGAACCGTGAAGGAAAGTTTTTGCAAATGAAAACTTGTGATAACGGGGTGAAGTCAAACTAGAGGGTCGTAAAGGTACGCTAAAAATTAAAACGTTTCGCCAGGCAAGAAGCTGCTCAGAATTTCTGATCACTTGCACCAATTCGGGCTCTACAAGCTACAGTAGCCGGCGGTTGGACCCTATAGACTACAAAAGTCAAAACAACGGATTTGGAAAAACTGATACATACGTTATCGCCCCCTGTGGTACGCCTCGACAATGTTGGGCCAATTTTGGGTTTTCACCAGCTTTAAAACCTCTAAAAACTATAAGAGCTGCATTGTGGCTTTTTAAAACTGTAAAGGCAAAAACAAGGGTTTCTCGAGGTTTTTAATAAGATTTCCAATCCCTTAAATGGATTTTATGCAGAGCTTCCCACTAAATTACATGTATTATCGTTTTTTTCTCGTTAATAGCTATTCCGGTCCCGTCCATTCATGCCACTAATCCGCATACCACCCTCCGAAAAATCATAAGCCGGGCGTGAGCTGGGCCCCAGCTCCTGGAGCACCAGCTTAAATACCATCCCCAGAAACCATGATCCCCCCTTTACCGTAACCCGTAATTTGGCGTCCAGCGTTCGCTTGCGTTCCCTAAAAATCAAAGGATTTATGCAAACATACAAAAATATGGCACAAGCTTGAGTTCATAAATTACAATGATCACAGCAAAATCAACTAATTTATATAAATGTCCTTATTTTTTTTCTCTAGCTGCTCCACCCCATCGACTGAAGTGAAAATTCATTATCCGAGACGAAAACCTCACAGAGCAGAGGCCTCGAAAATCGAGTGCGAGCCTCTCGAACTATAAAAATTTCCCATTAACAATTAATAAAAATCTACCTGCTTCCAGCTTATAGCTCAACAATTTGTTTTCTTCTATCGGATCGGCCACTCGGAAAGTGCCATATAAATACTTGTTTTTGCCGTTAAACGACGCCTAAATAAAGATAATGTGTATATGATACATAAAAATGTATGTAAAAAACCTACTTTAACGTAACGTTCTGCCGTAGCGTTTCGTATTTTGAATGGAGGCCTGACTATCGTCAACGGCCTTCCGGCGTTATTTCGATCTGCTAGAAGCTCTAAGAATTGGCCATCACCATCTTCGGAGAGAAGTTCGCTAGGCTGAAATTGTAGTGTTAAAGAAACATTCAACTCCCAGCTTTTTATGAAAAAGCAAAAAGTCATGTCACGGCCTGGGGGTCGAACCCGTGCCTTGTGACCGTGAAGCAAACGCATAACCAATGAGCCAGGCGGGAGATGGGAACGGAACGGAGAAGGCCCTCTTCCCGTCGGGGGCTTTATCCGCGCTTTAGGAAAAAGGGCTGCTATGGCGTGGACCGATTTCATAAAATTGGGAGGTGAATGTTTCTTTAACTATAATTATCAAAATATGGCTTTAATAAAAATGGTGAACAAAGTCTATTTCTGTTTTTACCTGAGCAAAACAAATATGCGAAATTTGCTGTAGATACTTCCGCTTCATATACCGCGTCAAATCGCAATTCATACAACTAGCCTGAAATTCCATTACTAACATAAAGCTTTAATGATTTTCAGACCGTAATTTCGCTCCTATCGGGTATCAACGTCTCCCAGAGCCCAAAAATAGATTCCTCTTCGGCGCGAACAAATTCTGCCTGAATTTAGCTGTTACCAAAATTGTTGGGGCCGACTGTACCTCAAAACGTAATGGAAATATTTTTAACTTGTTTGAATTTGCGATTACCGTATTCCGAACGGCTTCTATGCAAATTGGCGGTAGACGATACTGGAATTTAGGTATTTAGTTTTTAGAATCCACTTACAAGTGATAGTTTCCGTACGGGCGCCCTTTGCATAGCCAATTCAAGGATAATTTGCGTTAATTTAGCGATATCTCCAAAAAGTCGTAATGCATGAGGTGCTGAAAGGCTTAGAAATTGCTAAAATTAGCATAGGAACCACCTGGTGTATCGAGATTCGAGATGATACTGGAAAAATCGACGTCTACATTCTCCGCTTCATCAATCGTAAATCGGCACTTCTTCTCCGGAGCACTGTACCAAACATCGACCAGGAATTTGTCGTCATACTAAAATATCGAAATATACGTGTTCATCGCTGAAAAGATACTTTATATTTGTTGAGGTGCTCCTTACGCACCATTTCCACGTAAATCTCGGCCCCACGATTCAAGGGGCGGCACATTTTCAGGGCGTTTAGCTTGCATAATCGATTAATACGTCTGAATTGAGTTTTTTTATCGAGGCAGAAAAAAAATACCTATTTAATAGCGGTAATCTTATAGCTGAAGTCTGATTTAAAGCCAGGAAAACCCGAGTGATTGTTTGGTCCGGAAGGCCCTCCAAGAAAAATGGGGTTTTTGGCTTGGGGATGTCGTTTATTTCATTGGAGCCGCTGGGCATTTGCTGAAAAGTGTTGTAGATTAGGGTAATAATGTTTATAAGATTAATACGAGTTAATAACATATAAAAAATCAGGTTTAGGTTTTGGTTAAGGTTTAGGCTTAGGCTTAGGCTTAGGCTTAGGCTTAGGCTTAGGCTTAGGCTTAGGCTTAGGCTTAGGCTTAGGCTTAGGCTTAGGCTTAGGCCTAGGCTTAGGCTTCAATCAGGCTTAGGTTCAGGCTTAGGCTTAGATTCAAATTCAAATTCAATAAAAATAAATAAAATAAATTCAAAAATTTGAATACTTTCCGCTAGCGGCTGCCCTTATCTATATAGTAGCGCACTGATAAGAAAGCGTACTATGCGGCGTTATTGATATGCAAATGAGGGAAAGATTCGGGGGGTTGCCCATAGACAAACAGACATCTAGCGATAGGCATGGCCTCGGGCAATTTGCCACTCACCTGGTGACCTAGATATTACTCCATACGGGTAATCCTCAGCAGGTCTGCTGTAAATTGGTATTATGGCTTGGTCGGCTTAAGAGACCTTAAGACCTTCTTTTGTTCGAATTTTACATTTGGCAATTTTTCATTTATAGCTCATTTTAAGGATTCAGTAATTTTTTTTATCTGTATCTTCCGTTAATTCTTTATATTTATTATGATACTTATAATATGTAACACGTTTTTTATATATAGAAAAGACATTAACTAATTTAGATCTCAAACTTGAACCATGAATCAACTTTGCGACAGAATTTCTGAACGACAACCCATCGTGAAAAGTAAGTTTTTCCTGAGTTTTTATTAATTATAAAATTTTTAAACCTGATTTTGACCAGATTTTGTATTTTTAGAATTCGACCTCAAACGCCTATCAAATATCCTCCTCCACAACGTCCTCAAAAAGCTTCACAAAACCGAAGTAAAAACCGGCAAAACGGTTAACTGGTAAGAAATATTTTCGGTTCCTTAATTGCCTTATTTTCAAGGTATTTACATCAGCTGATGCTAAGAAATCGACTTTACCTTGCCAGGGATACGGTAGAACTCACTTTAAATATGGTAAGAATTTTACATTATTTTACATAAGTTTAAGGCCTAAAAGTTAATTTCTCTTTTTTAGCAATACAAAAATCCCAGCGTGACGATCGCCTACGGGGCTGATCGGTGGCAAGCCTTCAGATTTGGCCCGAAATACGCCGACGACAACGAAATGGAGATGCTCAAACACCTTGCTACCCGTAATTCTGATTTTTTACCTTAAATTTTTCCATACTTTTGAGATGACTGCAGCGAGAAGAAATGGAACATCAAACTCCTCCCCGCTTTCCTGCAATTAGTGACAAGTCGTTTTTATGTAAATGAATTGCTTTTGGTGAGTAAAATTAATTATATTTATTTGAATCCAGGCTTTTATATATTTATATTTTTTTAATAAACCAATTTTTTTAATTTTAGTTCTGTCTTACTACTGAATATATCGAAATGATCCTAAAAATGCTGGAAAAACAACGCGGATTGCATCAAGAGGAGCAGAAAACGTTATACGTAAGTCTGATAGTTTTAATATTATTAAAGCTATTAAAAGCTAAATAAAAGCTTATTAAATCCGATTAGACAATTTCGGTGGTTTCCCTAACCGGGGGCGGGGGGGGGTCTTGAAAACGTGTTGTTATAAAATTCCGGAAATACTGAGCTAATTAATAACACTTAGGCATTAGCTTAATCAATTACCGTACTAAATTTGACGATAATTCAAGTTTAAACAGCAAATTTTGAAAAAATCTTAAAACAAAATTTCGGTCGAAACTTGAGACTTTTTGTATTTTTAGCAAAATCTTGTAAAGTTTTACGTTTAAGAACTGAAAATACGATGTGGAAAAAGTTCCTCAATTTATGCAAGGCTCGTGACCCCCGATAATGCAAAAAAACCGCAAAAATCTTAGATCGACCTTCTGCAAGGACATGAACACTACGCCTACAACTTTTTGGACATCTACCGCCCAACCTTCCTTTTTCTTGAGGTAACAATTTTTCACCATTAGTTCTATACATTTTTATGTAATATATATATATATATATATATATATATATATATATATATATATATATATATATATATATATATATATATATATATATATATATATATATATATATATATATCAATCTACGTAATTTTTTTTCAGCTCGACAGAGGCTCGTTCAACACCCGTCCATTCTTAACAGTGCCCATCATGAAGAGCCTGCAGCGGCTTCAATTTTACGGGGTACGGTAGAATTCACAAATTTTTGTTAAAATTTTATTTTATGATTTTAGATCGTATTATTCAGGATGTAGATCGCATCGAAAAATCGGACGAACTATTCCACGAACTCTACGACATCTTCAACAAGGGCGACCAAGTCTTCTATATGAGCAACAGCGGCATGGTGATCACCAACGAGACGGCGAAGTCGTTCGCGAAGGTATGGAAATTTGACCTTCAAAATTATAGAGATTTTTAGAAAACAGTAACTGGTGAAAACCGGAAATTCTCCGGATCATTCAACCTCAACCGCCCGATCGATTGGACCGATTTTGACGAGGAGTCAAGAGCTTGTAAGTAAAAAACATAAATAGAAACTTCAATAGCTTTAAACAATTCAAATAATAAATTCGAGAAATCTTAATAAAATTGTTAAACTTGTTTAGGGCCCGATTATGGCAGTATCCACAACTCCAACGAAAAAGGGAGCAGCGCCATCTACTACACGGCCGGCAACATCAAGGTGTTCATTGATTAAATGGATTGGCGACGATAATTAACTGATGACGATCACTGAAAAATGCTGTTTTATTTGCTGTTTCTTAAAAGATGGAGTGTATCTAGTCAAATTAAACTTGTGATGTTCGAATTTCTATCGGGTTACCTCGCTATATTTTTCTATCTATCGCTGTTTATTTCTAGCTCTCTCTCCCTCGCGCTCTCTCTCTCCCTCTCTCTCACTCTCTCTCTCTCTCTCTCTCTCTCTCTCTCTCTCTCTTTCTCTCTCTCACTCTCTCTCCCTCTCTCTCTCTTGCGCTCTCTCACTCTCTCTCTCTCCCTTTCTCTCTCTCTCTCACTCTCTCTGTCTCTCTATCTTGTTTCAGGTAGCTTACTTAGTAACGAGCCTAATAAATCCTTCATTCTAATGTTTTTACAAATGTCAGTGTCAAAAAAAATACGATTGTCGTGGTAGCGGTTGCCCGGCAAAAAAGGAGCGCGGCTAGGATGCGAAGCTAAAAAGGTGTATTTCTAAATTCTGTCCTTTCGGTCGCGATGTCTGGTCGTTATTTCGATAATGGTCGGTCGTCGCATTCTTTTGTAAAATAACAATTTATAGATCGTGATTTTGTCGATGAAATATACCAAGATTACGAGGATGATTACCCAATTCGGCCTTATTCCGCCGATAATGTCGATAGTTTACCTTATGAAGATGAAGATCCTATTTATTACGGTAGTTTCTGAAATTCCTCACATTGCTGTAATTTTTGATACCTAGATGATGGCGAATATCAATCATTTACTGACGAGTATCCGGCGGATTGGGATGATTTGGACTCAATACCGGAAAGAAATCCGAATCAGAGTTCTAGTGCTTACAAGTAAATATTATATTTTAAAGTATAAAATTACATATAGATAAATGGTAACTTCAATTCAATATATAAAAATCAAGTAATAAATCAAGATTTATTTTTAGAGCCCGAATGGAAAATGTACCATTTCACGGCGGGACAACATATCAGAGCCACTATCCCTGGAAGGATCCGATGGCGCAAAGGAGGTATTTTTAAGGAATAAAATTTTAAAAATTAAATTTAGAAAATCCACCCCTGCCGAACGGGTCCTACCACCCTTTTACAGTGATACTACACATAAAGCGGATTTTAATCTAAAGATTCCAAAGCCAGCGCAGAGCTTTAAGTAAGGAGATGCAGCTCATTTATTAATTGAGCACGAAATCATATTTTAAGCCTTCTTAAATGATTATAATTTAGACCAAAACGCGGCGGCCTAAGCAGCGATATCCCATTCTACGGAGAAACCAGCCATAAAGCTGATTACGTGCCGATGAAACAGGATAAAGTTCGCTCAATGAAGGTTTCAACTTAGGTTTTAATACCATACCTGAAATTTCCTAGAAATCAACGTATTTTGGGGCTGCAGGGGATTTCCACGATGCTACTACCCATAAAGTAAGCTTAATACTAACGGCTAAAATCTTTATTTGACTTTTTAGACCGAATATGGCCATAAAAAAGCTGTCCGTGAAAGGCCGCTACGCGTGAGATCAGCACCATTGTTTCCTAGAGGTATTGAGGTAAGGAAATATAGCTAAATTACTTCATAATTAACCCCAATTTCATTTAGAACCATAATACCACCCATCAAGCCTCTTACCTAAAAGTTAAAGGCGGAAATTGCCCGGCAGAAGCTATATTAAATCGAGCGAAAGGGTAGGCTAAATTTTAAATGTTAGAAATTTAATAAAACAAAAATTAATAGAATTAAAATCTTAAAATAATTTGTTAATTTAGCAGAGAAGGCTCTAAATTTGATGGCCATTACTATGTGAAAGTTCGACCAAGAAATGCGAATAATCAAGAGCTTTCCCCTCAAGGACAACTCCAGGGGCAGACTTTTCAAAATCCTGCACCTCATGCTCAACCGAGAATTGTGGCTGCTCCACAAAAGATCCGGCAGCAGAGGAGCCAAAACCCTGCAACTCATGCTCAACCAAGAATTGTAGCTCCCCAACCAACGAGAGCCAACTACTTCCCACCCCCCAAAAAACCTACTGCTCCATACTACCAACCTCGACTCAGAAAGTCCAAATCCCAGCCACACATTTCAACGCGAAAATTTTATTAATTAAAGCGATAAATAAAGCGGAATTATATGGCAGATTGGCAGATATCGAATTGGCATTTGACCCGTAAAGTTGACTTATAAACAAGCAGAAAAGTTTCGAGAATTAGCTATTCGTCGGCTCTTCAGCTTCATCAGCTTCCGGTTCCGTCGAGGTCGATTCACGTTGACTATTTTCTTCAAAAACATGCTTTATAAAGTTCAGTTTCTCGTGCTTACCTTTAAAAACTCGGTTCAGCGTCTCGGCAATGAATGCCATATCATTTTCGATAGTCGTAGCCCAGTTTTCGACATCACCAACCTCCTAAAAAGCTTCTTTGGCATTTCCTGCTTGTTCCTTACTTTTAAAGCTGAATTTAAAGCATCCGTCACTTCGTACCATTGTGAAACTTGCTTCGCAAGCGCGACGGTATGATTATCGAATCTAAAAGTTGCGAAGATCTTTCGTTTTTGCTGTTTTCACTTCCTACCTTTTCGCCTCAATATCTAGCCTCTTTTGGTGGTGATATGCTTGTGAAACCCTGAAATATTTATTCCTTTTTCTTGCCGGTACCTACCTGGCATTTAAATGATCAACCACGGACGTCGAAAGATCCTGCGCAGCAACCACGGCTTCATTTTTATATTTTTCTAATAGAAACAGCGTTTATGATAAAATCTAAAACTCATAAACCTTGCATCTCGCGGCGAAGCTGCTGCTTTTGTTGGTGCTCCTTGAGCATTGAGGAGAGCATGGCTGGCGGATAGGGGGGACCGGTCGATCGGCTGAAGTGTTTTTATGTTTCGCCAAGAAAAGCCGGAAGTAATCCGGGAAAGAACAAGGTATAAATAACGGGGATTAGCTTTCGGATTATGCCTGAAAATGCTATATCAACTAGCTTGTATCTTTGCGCTGATATTCGGAACAACCGCGGTAAGTTAATCTAATAAAATCTTCGGCGTATTAAATTTTATAAAAGATCAAGTCTTAAAAATAAGTCCTAGTGTGGCTCCTCCGGCTGCTGCTCATCATCACGCTCTCAAACCCCTACAGTAAACCAAAATCTATTTTTTTTATAATAACTTAAATTGAAGGTTGTACGTTGCGGCGGCGGAGGTTGCCAGCAAGGCTACAGCTGCGGGCCCTACGGATGCGTCAGAAGAAAGGCTTTGGCGTCAATTACACGCCGCGCGGTTAGTTCATAATCGGCAACACTAAATAAAAGTTTAAATCTAGGATGGAGTCCTATTCGAAGCACCCAACCATGAAGAAGCTAGCGCGCCGGTTTTCGAAGAGGTCAAAATCATCCGTTCAAAGTATCCTAAATCTTTAGAAAAGTTCCTTGATTGAAAGAGAAGCGCTGCAGAATGTATCACTAAAAAGATTGACGGTATTCGTCTGCCAAATAACCAATTTCAAAAATAATAACAGGATCCATCATGGATTTTCGCAACTTGTTGTGCGGCCCGTGGCTTGCCTGAAGCCTGCGTCGATCGCTGCTCGTTCCAGGAATACACTGCTGATTTTGTAAATTCAATCGAAACATAAACTAAAAAAACTCTATTTAGATTCAACAAGTATTCCTAAGACGCGACGAGTGTCCGCTAGAGGCGCTAAATGAAATGCATTACTGCGCTGCGCAGGTAGGGGCTATTTTCTAAAACAAATTATTCTTTAGGGCATGGATCATTCGAGTTGAAAATGGGGTTGGGCACACAGTGGCGGGAAGGAAATGTGTGCAATTGTGCGACCAGCGCCCGAACAGGTCACAATGCTACAAAAATAGAGGCATGGGCGAAATTCGGGTTCTGAAAACGTGACTGATAAAGTTAGCGGAAACGCCATCACCATGAAAATGGGCAGATGGCCAAAATCTAGCTTCCACATCAATGATTAGCCTAGAAAATTTAGATTCTATCAACTCGATCCCACCTACATGCCATGTTTTGAAGCTTTCCCAAGGATCAAACGCTGTTTTCATGAGGAAATCAAGATGAAGTAAGACCGCCTCTACTTAAAAGCCAAGCTACTGATTCCTAACTTAGAGCCATCAAGAAATACGTAGTTGGGGCGCTGCACAACCAACTGAAAAGCGGAATGGATGACGGCGAGACCAAGAAAGGACGCGGCTTCTTGAACTCTGGCGACAACCAGTCCGAAAAGCCCAGAAACTTCTTCTAAAAACAATTCAAAGAAAAACGCTTGCTTCAAAGCATTCATCTGATCCGTGCAATATCATTCTGCAATAAATTTTATCTACAACTATGCGATAGGAAATACAAGGCAAAGAAGGGTCACCACTGGATGATCACAGAAATACAATCATTATGAACCGTTTTGTTGAGTAATCGGAGGGAACTGGGAATTAAGTGAAATCCGAGAAATAGGTACCAGAAGGGGCAGACAACGTCAAAAACTTCGAACAAAGATTCATTACTCGAAGGCTAAACGGACCAGTGTATAATTGAAATGAGTGTTCTGGTAATTTGTCAAAATTCACTGGTCCTTTTTCAGGGTAAAAAGACAACCATTATAACAAAAACTAGAAACATACAACAATGCTTGGCTTCACTTTAGGCGCTGATTCCCGCCATCTTGCCGGCATATTCCTTCTTGTCGCCTTCTGACTTCACGAGCTGACCCACTTTAGCGTACTTGTACTTGAAGGAATCTTCCCATTCGTTGGCGCTGTCCCTAAAAACAATTATATTACAGTAAATAAAGTATTCGTACTTTTGAGATGGCGTGAAGTCCGCGTGTTCGTCCCATTCAGCGGATACAGCCTTCGGGTCCATAACGGCGAGGGCGCGAGTGGCATCGTGGCCTAAAGAAAACTAGAAATCTAGCGAAATATAGATACCGGCCAGATCTGCATAGGGTCCACCGGGTCCGTAGAAGTTAGCGCCGCGAGTGACGTCGTAGATCTATAAAAAATAGCTAGAACTTGATCAGCAGCTTGCCGAATCGGCTGTGGTTCGACAGTTGCGCGCTGACAACTTATTTTTAGGAAAAGACAGCCGAAACCGCTAAAGCTCGGTGATTTCCGGAGTGCTAACGTTCCGTCAAGCTAGCCCCATGAATATCTTGAAGTTTCGGTTCGCAAATTTCAGCAGTATATGTCGAGCCGCAATTATCGCGTAAACGCCCAATTTCCCAAAGTAAGAACAAACTGAAACGTACGCTATAGTTGACAGAGAGAAGAATACGAGGTTCGTCACGTCCATTGTACTTTGATAGATCCTCGAGCGTCATGTCTTGCATTGGCATAGGCTCCAACTAAAAAAGGGATCTCGATAACAAAGTTAATAATACAAACCTTAGGCGGGCTAGGCGGGATGAGCTCTGGATTCTCGCGTCTCGACCACCAACGGTAAACAAGCACCAGTAGCAGGGCGATCAGGACGATATCCCAGCCTGTGACTTCGAACAGAGAACCGAGCTCCATTTCTGAAAAAGAAAAAGGTTATTTGGTTAGGAATTTCGATCAACAACAAATAGAAAGGACGAAATATCGCAATAAATCCCCCCCCCTAACGAGGGATATGTTTTTTTTTTTTTTTTTTTTTTTTTTTTTTTTTTGGGCGGCGGTCCTGGGGTTTTTTTTTGTTTTGGGGGGGGGGGGGATCCCCAAAAAAGGATTTTTTTTTTTTTTTTTTTTTTTTTTTTTTTTTTTATTTTTATATATGAAAAAATTAAAAAAAATTTTTTTTTTTTTTTTTGTTTTTTTTTTTTTCCGTATTATTTAAGGGAGGGTTTTATGTGTGTTTTTTTTGGGAGGGAAGGATAATATAAAATTTTATAAATTTTTTTTTTTTTTTTAATAATTTTTTAATTTTTTTTTTTTTTTTTTTTTTTTAATGTGGACTTAAAGGCCGGGGGCGGGCCCCGGGGTCCCGGGCCCCGGACGGGGGGGTGGGGGGGGAATTGAGGGGTTTTTTGTAGTTTTTATGGGAAGGGGGTTTTTGGATTTTTTTTTTTTTATTTTTTTTTTAAAAATAAAAAAAAAAAAAAAAAATAGGTATTAGGGGGCCCCCTTCCGGAAGGGATGGGGTTGTTATTTTTTTTTCCTCTTCCTTGGAGGGGGGGGGCGCTCCGGCGTTTTTTTCTTTTTCCCCCCTGTGGGGGGGGGGGGGTGGGTTTTTTTTTGGGGGGGGGGGGGGGGGGTTGGGTTTGGGGGTGTTTTTTTTTTTTTTTTTTTGTTGTTTGTGTGTAATATTTTTTCTGGTGGGGGGTGTTTTTGGGTTTTGGTTTGGGGTCTTTTCCGGGGGGCGGCCGGGGGGGGGGGGGGGGGGGCCCCGCCCCGGCCCGGGCCCGGGCCCGGGCCCGGGGCCTGGGGCGGGGGCCCAACCGGGCAGGGGGGGGGGGGCGACGGGGGGGCGGGCGGAACAAGGGGAAGGGGGGGGGGGGGGGGCGGGGGGGGTGGGGGGGGGCGGGGGGGCCCGGGGGGGGGGGGGGGGGGGGGCCCGGGGCGGGGGGGGGGGGCCGGGGCGGAGGCCGAGGACCCGGGGGGGGGCCGCCGGCCGGGGCGGCGGGCGGGGGGGGCTTTGCGGGGGGGCGGGGGGGGGGGGGGGGCAAGGGGGGAGATAGGTGTTTGTGGTTTGGGGAGGGGGGGCGGGGGTATGGGGAGGCGGAGCCCTTTTTGGGGCGGCGGGGCCCCGGCCGCGCCCGGGGCGACGGGGGCGCCCCGGGGGGCGGGGGCCCCCGCCCGGGGCCGGGGGGGGGGGGGCCCTGGGGGGGGGCCCGGGGCCGAGGGCCCCCCACGGGGGGGGAAGGGGCGAAAGGCGGCCCGGGGGGGGCCGGGGCCCCGGGGGGGGGGGGCGGGGGGCCCGGGGGGGGGGGGGGACAAGGACGAGGGGGGGAAGGGATAGGGAGAAAAAGGGGGGGGGGATAAGGGGATAGGGTTTGGATGGCCATTGGGTTGAATATATGACAGGAATGAGAAAGCGAATGCGTATTCACAAACTGGGGCTAAAAAGAAGATAATCATCGCTGAAAACCCTAAACAAATTTGGAACAATGTTTCCAGAAACAGTTTTTATCTATATGGGGCTAACCCCAGTGCCATCGCGCGATCGAATCGAGAGAGAAATGGGACGAGGTGGATGAGACGGGCTATGGCAGTAATTGCACATGTCAGACAAAAGTTGAGCCCGTAGTTTGTGTTTATTTTTGAAAGTGATGTACAAAAAAAAGAGATAATTGGAAGGGAAACACATAATAAACGTCGCTCATCCGTAAAAGAACTAACACTAAGGATATTGGAAGAGACGAGCATCTTGTTAAGCCTTTAGGAAGTGTTTTTGGTCAAGCATCAGCTCTTCTACGCCTATTCTTAAAGTAATAGACAGAAAACAGTTATTTCAAAAGGAAACACATAAAAACGTCACCGTTTTGTCAAATTCTAAAAGAAATAAAACTAGCCAAACTGGAGGAGGCGAGCATGCGGTTCCGCCGTTTAAAAAGTGCCATAGAAAGCAAGAAAAAGAAAGTTTTTAGAAAGCAAAATAGACAAAAATAGTCATTGAAATGGAAGCATAAGAACTACTAGCGGAACCGGAGGAGAGGAGCACCCGTTATTTGCAAGAAACCGAAAAATAACGAAACACACCTATTTACGGCCATACGGATTACGGCGGCTCCGTAGTTCAGTATCGCGGTAAATTCGTGTTTTTCGTTTTCAGCTGGCAGTAAAATAGAATCTAATGAAAAACCGAGAGGTAACACTTTTTCTTATATAGTCCAAAAAGTTGTGGGTTGTTTTGTGACTTGTGTACCGATTGTTGGCGACGATAAGGATTGATCGAGTCTCGAACCCAAAGCATTTCTTTGACCAATAGCAAAGACAGCTACAAAGCATAGAAAATCTGAAGGAGCGCTATGTGAGTGTGTGCATTGGCGCGCTATGTAGGGGATTGAAATGCCGTCACCGGCTGGCAGCGAGTGGGCCTTCAACGGAAAGGGGACCCTCTTTTTCTCTCTCTCCGCTTTCTATACACTCTCTTCTACCTCTCTCTCGCTTTCGCTCCCTCCTCTGCCAATTTCTATTCATTCATTCCATCACTCCCCCTCCCCTCCTTCCGGCCATCATTAATCCATATTCCTATTTCATACCTCTTCATTTCATTTCCCCTCCCCGCCCGGCGGCTTTTCCCGGCTTCTTCATTCATGTACCGGGACACCAAGGAGGGTAGGTCCACCACCTCATTTCCGACATCCGGGGAGGGGACATCTTTTGCGAGAGAAATTGAGGCCAATTTGCTCGTGCATAGGAAATCAGGAGTGTGTAAAAAATGATGAAAAGTGGAAATTGCGGACGTGGGGAAGGGGTCAATTAGATGTTTTATAGAGAGAGTAGTTTAGCGGTGGTTTTAAAGGATTAAAACATGCCAGTAAGCGCTGTCTAATTAGGCATTTAAAGGTATTAAAAAGCGGTTTTTAGATCTGGAAAATAGTCTAGTGTTTTTGTTCATTCATAAAACATGTCAGCTACATTTTGGTTGCCGTTTTTGGGTTTTTTAGAGCTTTTAGGTAAAAGCGGCTGGTTGTGAATTTATTAAAAAAAATATTACAAACCATTTAAAGGTATTATATTATCGAAAAAACGCATACGAAAAAGTAGCTTCCACATATATATAAATAATCCAATTTTTTGCTCTCTTGCTCTCTAAAAACTCTAAAAGTAATTTTGCCGTTTTTGGAGCGTTAGAAGCTTTATTAAATAAAGCTCTAAAAGTAGCTAATTTCCTATAACACACCCATACTTTTTCTGTAAAAGTGCAGACGTTCCCTTTCCCACGTAGCTCGCCCCAAAACGCTATTTTGCGCCCATAATTCCCGTAATTACGTTAATTTCCGTCCACTTTCCACCTCAAACTGGTGCTCACGAGACCCATTGACGAACTTCACTTACTTGCGAAAAGTTCGTAACTATGGGTACTCCCAATCTCCTCGATTTTACCACCTGCCCCTTGATTTTGGGGCTTCTTCCCTGGCCAAATTTCCGTTTTTTCCAAAGGTTGTTTGTGGAAGGGGTTTTGTGGGGGGTTTTTTTGTTTTTTTGGGGGGGGGGGGGGAAATTTTTTGTTTCTTCGGACATATTTATTTAGTGTTTTTAGTAAAAATATTTATCTTTAAACAGAAAACTTATCTAAAAACTTTCAATTTTTTTGAAAAAGTCTAAATTTTTATCGAAAAATCGATATTTTTGATATTTCCTTCCTCAAAAGTAGTAAAGTTTTTTTTTTTAAAAAAAAAAAAATTTTTTAAAAAATTTTCTTCTAAAAATTAAAAAAATCCCCGATAAACGGTACCTTTGGTTCCCCCGATAATGCACAAGAACCACGAAACGATTTGCATCATAGAATTTGGAAAAAATAAAGAAATACCACCAAAGCTTATTGCAAAAATTTGTTAATTCAATCTTTCAATTTAGTGGGAAGTGATGAAGAATCGAGCGATGAGGAGCCCGTACTAAAAATCCAGCGCCCTAATGAGGAGCAAGTGCAAAAGAAGAAGTAAGATTAAATCCAAATATGGTAATCCGATTAAGGCGATCCCCCTGGGAAGACGTGCTGATGGAGCAGGAACTCGAACGAGTTCGTACTGTATATATGGAGGTAAAATTTTTAGTAGATTTTTTGGTCCTTTTGCATTATCGGGGGGAAGGGGAGCTAATTTTTCTATGGACCTAATTTTTTAAATATAAATATAGGAGGTGTTTCTAGACGGTTATATTTGACATCAACGTAAAAACCGCAAATTTTGATTAAAGATACTTCAAAAAGATATAGATTTTTCGCCTATCTTCAGCTAAAAATTTTTATATTGTGTTTCATTGTTTTCCACTTAAAATAGAATTGAATTTTACGATAACCGCTTGTTAAACACTGACTATATTCTGTTAATAGGGTATTTCTGGGCTCACAAAAAAGGATTAGCCCCCCTCGATAATGCAAAAGAACCGATTTTTCATAAAAAAAATAAAATAGGACGATGAGCGAGTGGAGAGGGGAAGTGAATCGTTCGAAATGCCAAGGCAGAAAAATCACCTTTGCACCCGGAGACGCCAATATCCGAATCGTATGGAGAGCGAAGAAGCGGGAGATCTGTTAAAACCGGTCAGTGGACACTAACGGAATATAGCTAAATTAGCCGGTTCCGATTGTGACGGTATCTCCGGCTGAAGATGATCCATTTGCCGGCACGCCGGATATCAGCCAGGTGGAGACGTTTGGGACTGCGCTTACGGTAAGGGAAAATATTTCAATTTAAAATTTAAAACACTATAAATTTAAGTAGTTAAATTCAAATAAAAATAGAAATTTTAGGTGGCTCGTTGTAGGCAACAAAAGAAGAAGCGGCATCCGGTTTTGGAAAAAACGCCGAGCTTGAATTCGGTATTTTCGAATTCGAATTCCAAGAAGCGGACGGGTGTGCTGGAGAAGAGAACTCATGCTCAAATGGTAAGACAAATATAAGTAGAAAAATCTGTTTGTAATTTTCAGATGGAATATTCGCATTTTACAAGGAAGGAATATTCGCTTGACGATCTAATAGAAGCGGAATTTGCCGAAGAGATGCCTTTGGAAATTTTGGCCGATAATGTAAGGAAAAACTTATATACTCTGACATTATAAAAGTTAAAATTATTAATAATAATTAATATTAATTATACATCAAAAATTCATCAAAATAAATTCAGATAGCTACCGTACTCGGCGAACTCGAGCCCTGTTCTGTCGTCAAGATCGTCAAATCGATTGGCAGAGATCGAGTAAGCTAATTTAAGGTATACAAACAAAGATAAACGAATATATAACAAATTTAAATCTATTTTTTAGTCCCTTGCCTACCTGGAACAAACAAAACAGACTGAATTGGCTGGTGGCATGCTGGTGGCCGATGGCTCGAGACGGAAAACAGCCGGCGGAGTGTTTATTGCGATTTTTAAGGACGATCCGACTGTGGATCCAGATTTGAAGGTATGGGAAAATCAGAATATTGTTGAATTCTTAAATTTAGAAAGACTTGACGTCTGATGAGGGGCGAGAAGACCGGAAATGGATCAAGGGAAAAAGGCGTGGGAGGAGGGCGGCTACAACTGAAGTATCGTTATTGGAGGTAGGTATTTCGATCTAGCTCTAACTATTTCTCTCTCTCTCTCTCTCTTCTCTCTCTTTTCTCTCTCTTCTCTTTTTCTTGGCCTCCTTTCTCTGTCTCTGCCTCTCTCTCTCCCTCTCCCCCTGCTCCCTCTCTATCCCTCCGTCTCTCTCTTCTCTCTCTACCTCTCTCCCTCTCTCTTCTCTCGCTCCTCTCTCATCTCTCTCTCTCCCTCCCTCTATCTCTCGTCTTCACTCTCTCTCTCTCTCTGTCTCTCTATCTATCTCTCTCGCTCTCTCTCTGTACCTCTCTCGGTCTCTTGGTCTCTCGCCCTCTCCCTCTCACGCTCTCTCGCTCTCTTTCTCTCTCTCCCTCTCTCTCTCTCTCTCTCTCTCCTTCCGTCTCACTCTCTCTCTCTCTCTCTCTCTCTCTCTATCTTTTAACTCCAAATTTTTCTAGATTTCCATGAAACTCCGCGAACAACAAGCCCATGCTATGGACACCGAAGAACAAGAGAACGAAACAAATTCAGACGAAGAAAAGGAGCTCCAACTCAGCCCCCTCATCCGACGAGAACCCCTAGATTTTGATGATGATTTAAATCACACCCGAGATTTTTGATATTAATCTTTAAAATCCCAACTTGCACATTTTCCATTTCTAGCGACCAAATTTCCCTATGTATCTCAACCCATCCCGCGCGCATCTTTCACGTTAGATTACTTATCAAAAATTCTCCGGATTTTAGACCTAATTTGCATAATTGCTGTATTAAAGTTGCTGCATAGAATCTAAATTAGTTAGTATTTTTGTCAAGTGTTTTATTCTAGTCTTGCCTACAAACTATTCCTTGCCCCGGTGATCAAAAATTTAGAACAAATATTCCATTCGTTTCCCTAACCTTAATTTGCTAAATGTTGCCCTTCCCTGGATTTAGCCAGTTACCATACCCCAAAAGAACATTGTCAACTTGTTCGGGTTCCCATTCCCCCTCAACTTACCCCACTTTTCTCATGGAACAAATAATCATTTGCATTTATGCAAATTCAGAACAACGCCTGCACATAATCGCCCTAAAAGAACAAAAATATTTTTAGTATTAATCACTATTTTGTATTTTCCTATCCGTTCCATTCCTTGCCACAAACACCCCACGAGATTATTCCCCCGGCATAATACAGTTATATTTCTGAATCTCATATGCTAGTTCACATTTTTTTTGGGTTTAGATTCCCCACTCTTTATAATAATTTTTTATGCCCTTAGTAAGCTTTTCCACCCGAAATTTCCGGTATTTTTGGTCTTAACACTTTTCCTGGTATCAAAATCTTTTCGGGATAAATGACTTTGACCTCTTCCCACATCGAAAAGGACATGAAAAAGACACTAGAGGGGCCCGGGTCCCGAAGAAAAATACAGGCAATTTCAGGGCGGCCGATTTTGCATCCATAGTACAGTTCAGATTTTCCTTCGCCCAAAATGTTTCTTGCTAAAAATGGGCAACCTGAGGAGATTATTCCTGAACCGACAGATGAGGAGATTGAGGCGTTTGATGAATTGATTGTAAGTTTTTGTTAGAAGGTAGCGATACTTTACGCTACGCTCCGCACTTGAAGCATTGCATAGTTTTTGTTTAGAGCAAATCATTCAATAAATAGTTAATATAGAAAAAATCAGAAAAATCGATCGATTATAAAAATGAAAAATTATAAAAATCTACTTCAGATGCCTAAGTTTCGCGCCTTTTTACGTTCTCCTACGCTAATAAGCTACGAAACTTTGCGAAACGTGCTTTTGCGTGGAACAAGTTACTTTCATAGATAAGTAAGCAAGTTATCTAAAAGTATAACGCCTCGTCATGTCACTTATGCTAAAATACACCACCCTACGCTAAGCTACACAACTTTACGCCACGCTACGTTACGTTACGCCACGTTACGCTACCATCTATCCTCTGGGTTTAAGCTCTTTTTATTTTACGTGGCGCTAAGATACGCCGCTGTACGCTACGCTAATACACCTTAAGCGTATATTAAGTCACTTTACGAGTTGCCACGTACCTTGAAATTTCGGTTAAAGCCTAATCCGAAGTCTAAGCCTAAACCGACGCCTAAGCCTAAGCTTTTTACCTGTCGTTATATAAAAACGATGTAAACCTAACTAATACTCAAAACGGAAAATATACAAATTCAGCGCAAATACGCCAGAGACAAGGCAAATGTATCGGCGGAACAACGAAAAAAGTAAGCCACCACCCACCGCCCCCCTTTTTTAGAATTCACTGCCTAGATTATTCACAATCGAACGCGAAAGGCGGGAGTTGGAACAACGCGGAAAAGAGTGGGACGCATACTGGGAGCGGAGAAAACGGGATGATAAAGATTTATGGAGGGATAAGGTATTTTTAATTTAATCAAATTTACATAGTGAATTTAGGACTTTGCGAACGCGGTCGATAAAATGAGCCGCGCCGGGTATAAGGGAAAACATGGTGATTTTGAGGTGCCCGAACAGGAGCTGATAAAGCTTGAAGCGCTTTTTATGCAGGTCACCAATGGAGATTATGGTTCGTGTTATTTTTGAGGTTTTATTTTGTAGTTTGAACTGTAGGATTTTGCAAAATGTAGATATCATTCCTCTTTTTCTACAAAACGGATTTTTCAGAGAAATTTAAAGCAACTCGTTCCAACTCGTTCAAAAAGGCTGCAAGAACCTAATTTTGTCGTTTTCACTTCGTGGCTTCTTTTTTAGCGGTTTTCCGTAGATTCACATCAGTTTTCACAGCATTAATTTTTAGACGATCATGCTTTTTGCTGATCTATTTAAAATCCGTTGAAATTTAATTGCCTCGTTCGAATCTGGTAGTCTCTGTAGTTTACACACCATTTTTAGAGCATTGCTATTTTTTAGACTATTTTTCTCACACAAAACGGATTGCAAAATGGTCTAAATTGTTCAAAACTCGCTTAAAATTTGATTTGATCTTTTCAGATGGTAACTCCGCACTTCGCTGCTCCACCCAATGGTCCGAACTAAAATCCAAATCTCGAATCGAAGCCCAACGAGAATTCATCCGCCACTCAAATTGGTGCCTAACCCGATGGGGCTGGAATCCGCCGCCTGGCTGGCGATAAATCGTTTTTATTGTCGCCCCCCTCTTGTTGTCTACAAGACATTACATCGCACTTTTCCCATAAAGCCTTCCCCTCACTTCCGCTCCAACTTTTTTGCGCAAAAAGCGAACGCCGGAAAGAAATTGGCGCCAATTAACTTTTTTTTGTATGAAGAACCGACCCATTATTAAGGCTGAAATGTGGTTTTTTCGGGAAATTAGATGGTTGCCTCGCAAAGAAATGACCTTTCGCAGTCGCTATTTGGTCAGGGTTTAGCTAAAAAAAACAAATAATTGCGGGGAAGATGCGAAAAAACGCAGAATGAACGAGGCGGGGATGTACAGGTTTTCCTGCGACGTCAGGCGCAATTTTTTGGAGGAAATGGAGAAACCAGAAAAATTTTTGCAAAAGCAATGAATGTTTTAAGTATCACAACAAATATACGCGAAACCGAGAACAAAACTGTAGAAATCAATACAAAACCCTGATACTAATCAAAAAAAGGTTTGGAAACTTCGCACGCGTTGTAAAACTATGCCCGAAGTTTTGCGCTAAATCTTGGTAAAATAGTTATAATCACGACCAAAATGATAAAGGTATCAAGTCAAGAAACTTTTCAAGCTGTGACATTATTCATGGATGCTGCTCGTTTACCCCTTTTTTGAAGCAATTCATTTTCCATATGGGTCCGTCAAAGGGAATTCAGGTGGCAAGGGCTGCATGCTACACCGCGGATCGGCGTTCTGCGTTCGGTCTGCATTAATGAGCGCCCGACTCCCTTTTCCTTTCTGCTTCCTTGTTCTTGCTTTCATTTTGTGTCTGTATATTTTCTATGACTTGAAGTTTAGTGAGCGATGCTTGCATACGTCATCGTCGCCTCCATTGAGGACTCTTCTGAAATCGAGAATATAAGGTAGCTTACAGATCTAAAACCCAATAATAACATTGTTTAGCGACTTCCTTGGAGGTTTCGTGGTCCTGCTAAACAAGAAATTGCGACGAATTGGAAGTATGACTTTTATTCAGGTCGGTTCCGATTTGACTATGAAAGTTTTTGTTTATAGGAAGAACCAGTCGGGTATTTTCATGCGGAGATAGGCGATGCCCTTCAAGTCAGCAAAATCTACGAAGAGGTCAAAAAGGTAAAGTTGTCAACTTTCTATTATTTGTTTTTAGAACAACCGTGCTCAGATGATTTTCCATATTTTGCCACACGTGGATTCGCTCGAGTACAGGTATGTTCCCTAATTATTGCAATATTCTGTTTTCATAGGTGGATGAAACAACTTGCGCGCGACAGTGGTATGATTGCGCAAGGCATTCTCCATGAAAGTACAGTCAACTGGTGAGATTAATGTGCTATTTATTGTCTATATTTAACCCTCCAGGTTTGCTCAAGTCGGCGGCCTCGCGTTCGCCGTCACGAAGATTACGAAGAGTGTATGCGATCAGACGGCAAACGTTTTTGGACAGCGCAAGTTAAAGTAAGTGGACGTTTTTTGACGTGAATAATCTTTTTAGCGAGCCATCAGCAGGACCGGCGATTGAGGATCCTAGCAGGAAAGACGTGGACGAGATCACGGACGGGTCTCGGCACCAACAATCAGGTACCCTAGTTTATGGCTCGTTATAGTTTTCCTTTGGTTAAATCAATTGTAGCGACTGGTGTATTAAATAATTTTTTTAGGAGAAATCACGTTGGTCGTTGAGGGAATTTCACCCCATGTGAAGCCAGCGAAATTATTTGCGGTTTTGCTTTCTCCTATTCGGGTGTTGCAGGTAAAAATTTGGGTTTGAAATTTTTTAACTGTGTTTTAGGTGAAATGGCATTACACCGTCGTCCACGTGACGTTCGTCAACAATCACGAAGCCCTTCAAGCATGTGAGAAGTTCCGCCGAGTGATGTCCGATAAATACCCGCTCGTGGTACGAACATTTTTGTAGTTGATAAACCTTTGTTCTTAAGATTCGATCGCTGAATGATGTTGAACGCGAAGGCATCAACTGAGTCGTCCATCTAAAGATGATCATAAGAACCTCTTCAGTTGATTGCTTCTTTTTTTGTATTGCTTTTTGTTGGTGTGTATAAAGATTTTCGACATTCAATTTGATCAGGGTTCAGAAAAGAGAAATGCAGTGAATGCTCGTCTCGGCTTTCCCTTTCATGTTCATGACCCAGATGAGCGTTTTTGCTTTCTCATTGTCGGTGGCTCTCGTCGGACTGACCGCGGCTAGCAATGAGGTTCCGTTTTTTGTCTAGCCGGTTCGCATATTTGTGTGCGCGCGAAAAGGTTGGCAGCTGACCCAAATCGGGGAGTTTTCAAGTGGAGGTGGATTGGGGCGAAAGAGGGGGGATTGCCGTACTGTATCGTCACGGGACCCGGAGCCGGTTCGTTAAGGTCATCTCGTCCCTCGGCGGCGCCTTGGGGGGAAGGAGCATGAGTTGGGAAAGAAGGAGCATTAGGGTGGGAGAAGAAGTTCGGTTAGGAGATTGGGTACGGTAAACAGCCTTGCGGGGGATTGGGGTTACAGTACGTTAGGGGTCATCAAGGGGGGTCATGTGAGTGTTAAATGGAGCGTGAGGTGCTGATCGGTTTTTTGAAAATTCAAAAAAAGAAGCGTGAAATAGTGATTGATTTCGCAAATTTGAGACCTGCAGTTTTAGGTACTATCGATTTTCCATGTTTTTCCCTACAAAAACAACTTTTCCAGGCGGTATATGAAAATCTTTTCCCTAAAAGATTAGAAAATGAAGCGTACCGTGCTGTTTGTCTCTTAAGGGTATAAAAAATGTACGGTTACGTTTCTACCGCTCTTTGAAAAACCAAAAGAATAACTTATTCAAGCGCTATTTGCAAATTTTGGCCCTAAACCGTTATATAGAAAATGATTAACTTCCGGTTGTTTACGCCAAACGCCCAGTTACAGTAGCTTTTGACGCGGCATATTTCAACACCCCAAATATTTGCGCGACCCGCGCTACGCGCTGAACCGAATAATTCGATACCATCGCCCGCGGGCACAGCGGTAAACAACACGTCATAGGATTTCGCTGTATGTGATTTGGCTCTTCGCGTACCAATCTAGATTTTGCCAGTTTGGAAAGCCCCAAAATCCTAAAACTACATCCGACTCTTCATCTAAAGATCCATGAAAAACTCTCCCTAATTCCCTCCTAATCCCGTTCGACAGCGGCGACCCAATTCCTCCTAGAAATCCGGTATTTACCTATTCAACCATGTGATTAGCGATAACACTGACCCCAGCAGCTGATCGTCCCGTCGCTCCAGTTTCCTGATCCGGCTTTTTTTGCGAGTTTTCTTGTTTATTTCGAAAGATGCTACCCCGTAAACGACTCGGGAATAGCCAGTGGCGGGGGAAGAGGAGGAAGACTCTCGCAGAGGGGAGATCCAGTTTCTGACCACTATGCAAGGTCACCACTCGCCCTCAACACAACCACAAATATCCCTCGCTTAGGGCTTCGGGGTTGGCTTAAGGGGTTCAGGTTTTGGAGGATGTTTTGTGGAGATCAGCATCGAAACATTTGGGGGTACGGTAGGTGGCAGTGACGTTATCTGAGGTTTTTTATATTAAGAAAATGCAGAATCATCGAAGGTTGCCGCGTGCGGCTACAATTTACAAAGTACAGCATATGCCACAAGCATCTACAAATCGTCTCAGAAGCTTCTAACCCTTAAAGGGTACGGCTACGGATACATTACAACCAACGTGGTGATGCACGCAATGCACGCGCGACGCGACACGCAACGCGTCAGCAACGCTTGGTGATTCGTAGCACGTACGCGACGCGACGCGCAGCGCGCCGTCTGACCGCGCGGAAGAGGTTGTAATCCATTCCGATATCAAAAAGTTAAGGGTTGCGTGCGCTGCGCGCCGCGCTTGATCAAATTTTAAAGAAATCCGTAATGAAAACTTCATCGGCTTGGTTTGCTAGTTACTTTAGAGTATTTCGATCATAGCTGAATTGGCTTGAAAGTTTTTAAAGTGGGGTGTCTTACCTGTTATCTTCACCAGCCCTTTAAAATACGATTAACGAGGTTTCAAATTCTTCATGCAAGTTTAAGGAGGCAGGACAGCTATCTCCACACCATAAATGCTCTAGAAACATGTAAATCACCCCCGAAAATTTTGCAAACCTTTGCAAGTTTGTGCACCCAAAAATCCGTTATTTACCTAAAAACCAGTCCCCAAACTCCCGATTTTTTCACATCCCCCACCCAAATCACAACAGCAACATCAATCTCCATCCCCTACTCTCTTTCTATCTCTATGTCTCTGTCCCTCTCTCTCTCTCTCTCTCTCTCGCTAACCCTGCCCGCCACGTAGTTGTTCGCCTAAGAACTTGCGACGTCGCGTACAGCTAGTTAAGCGACCAATTATCGTCCCTTCTCGACTCGGATCTCGATCCCAATGCCCGCTATACGGTGCACTTTTAGGGCGGCTTCCCGTAGACGGCGGCCGGGGAGGGCCTATCCGTTTTTTTCGCTAGCCAATCGTAGCGCTAGCACGCCTCGCGATGCGATTTTGGTTGGGTGTGCCCGGAAGCGGTTGTACGTGATGATGCTGCTGGGGGCAGGGTTGTTGTGTGGGTTTTGCGGGATATTGGCGAGACGAAAAAATGATGGAGTTGTTAGGTTGGTTTCAGGCTGGGGAGAGGGGGTTTCAAGGTTTTGATAGGGAGAGCGGAAGTGGCTAAAAACGGGAACTGAACTTTTTCGAGTTCGAGCTCTTTTCGAGTTCGAGTTCTTGCCTTTAAAGGAACGAGAAAGGCAACTAAAGCTTCCAAGTGCCGTTATCAGTTATGCAACAAAAAGACGTGCATGCGCGTTGCGTGTAGTGTTGCGTAACGGGTTGCGATGCGCGGCAAAATCCTTGGGGAATTAAAACCTCGCGAAATTACTAAAATTGGCGTTCCAGTTTCTTTAAGCTTTGACTTTTTACAGAGACCACAAAAATACGTTTCCGTTAGCTGATAAATACATTTTAAGTCCAAACTACACCACAACACAAAACCGCACCTTCCTACCGTAACCACCACCCCCGATTTTTGACCACCGAGCGATGCCACTCGTACCACAAGAAGCCCTAAGAAGCTCTCTTCCTCCTCCCTGTTGTCCTCAGCTGTTTGCCCCAACCGCTCTCCCCCTCCCTCTAGTTTGCCCGCGTTCAGAATATTTGTACACGCTGCCGGCGTGACCGTCTAGACCTCTAGGGTATGCAAATTTGTTCCCCCTATCAACTTATCAAGGCACGAGGGGGGCCGTGGGTGCAGCTAGCGGTGGCTGGGACGTTTTTTAGGGCGGTGGGATAGGGTGGGTTGTGTCGTCGACATGCGGCTTTTGGTGGTTGGGATATGGAGTGTAGTTAGGATGTTAACGTAACTAAAGAGAGGTGTAAATTGGCGCGTAGGTTAGTGAATAGCTTGCGGTAGAGAACTCTCGTGCTCGTTAATGCGTAATTTTACAGGCTCTAAGGATGTATTTTTTGGAATGGAAAACATTTAGCATGCGTCGGCTGAGGCTTGGGCTTTGGCGTAGGCTTATACATAGCTAAGGCTTAGGCTTAGGCTGAAGCGTAGGCGCAGGCTTAAGCTTAACTTAAGATTCAGCTTAAGCGTAGGCTTAACTTAGGCTCCAACCTATGCTTAGGCTTAGGATCGGGGTTTTGCCATAGCTTAGGCGTAGGCGTAGGCTAAGGTTTAGCTTAGATTTAGGCTTAGGCTTACAAGTTCCCCACCCTAGCCTTTCAGTGATCTTCAAACTTTTCAATCTCCACCACCCCTGATCCCATCATCAAAAATCCGATCCCTGTTCCTCTAAGTACAGATCCAACCTCCAAAAAACTCCACGCCACCCCCCGGGTCGGGTCAAATTTACAGCAAATCGCGCTGCGCACTCGAATCTGGTCACTCCCCCCGGGATTTTTTGCGAGGTTGAAGGTCAAAATCGAAGGGGAGAGGTGCATTTATAGCTTGTAATCGATGTTGCTGGGGGAGGAGGAGGTGATGATGGGCGACCCTGAGAGATCCCCCGGGGATTTTCAGCAGTGGCTAGGTGGGATTGATATCGACACGTGGTTGGTGCATGGTCCAGGATATGCAACTCGAGGCGGCTGGGCGTTCTTTTAGTTTGGTGCTGTCTGTCTATCTGTCTGTCAGCGTTCGTACTTTCTAAAATGATCTTATGCTCGATTTTACAGGCCCCAAGGTCCGTATAATTTTTGAAGAAACATTATTTGTTTCCGGTTGCTTCAAGCGCAGCTTCAGGCTACGAAGACGGCTACTTACGTAGAGACTCTGAGCCCTAGAGCGACGCGCAGACGGTCATAGGTGTAGACGTACAGCTCTACAACGTGACTTTAAAGACCTTTGAAAGCCGGAAACGGAAATGGATTTTGAAGCTTGGCCTTTCATTGCGTCTTGGATTTTGACTCCTTAGGACCTGATCTTTCTGATCCTGATCCTGGTTCCTGAACCCTGATCTTCGCACCAAGCGGCCCCGCGTCGCGCGTGGCGTTAGTTGGCGAGAGCGAATTAGTGAGAAAAAGAGAGAGAGAGAGAAAGAGAGAGAGATGGAGAGAGAAAGAGAGAAAGAGTGAGAGAGAGCTATTGATATCGTAACGTGGTTAGCTCATGTCTCATTCTCAGGATATGCAACTCGGCCCACCGGAGCGTTCTTTTAGTTTGGTGTTGTCTAACTGTCTGTATCGCCCTGTCTGTCTGTCCGTCTATCTATCTCTACCTTCGTACTTCCCGATATGACCTTATAACTTTAGCAAGAAATGAGAGAGCCGGTGGGGAATTCTGCGGTGGGTGTGGGTGCTGGTCTGCTTGGCGGCTCCTGACCCGCCGCCGGGCGCGAAAACAGATTTTTATCGGCTGCTGGGAAGTGCTGTCGGGTTTTTGCGGAGGTTTGGAAAGAAAACGGAGACTAGTGCAAAGGGAATACCGATGGGAGAAGCACTTTAAAGGGGCTGTGAAGGTAAGAATTGATCGATGAAGTTTAATGGCATGGCGCCAAGTTCTGGATGAAGCTTTTAAGAAGTTCAAGCGGCTGAATAACGCTTAAATAAGCCGTGTACCGAGAGTTTTGAATTTTAAAGGCACTGTGAAGGCAAGTAGCGGCAAAAGATGGCTAAAATGCAAGCTCGTCGAGCTTCTAAAAATCTTAAGCTGCTTCGATTTCCAAAATGTGTCACATTAAAGGGCCCAGAAACCCAAGAATCGACGTCTCTGTCCGACTAGGCCTCGACAACAACGCTACGCTCCAAAACACGGACAAAAAGAAAGCGTTTTTGTCTCGAATAGCTCGCTGCTAGTCGTTTTCAAGTAGGATTTCATGACTTCGAAGTCTATAGTGCGATCTGGTGTAGCTGTCGATACCTAACAGACACTATTGATTTCAGCACTTCCCAGGTCCTTTAAAACCCAGCAGTCTTCCCCCCAGTTCCACTACAACGCACCACAGTTGCACTCTCCCACCCCTCCTACGTACCAATTGCACTTTCCACTCTCCCATCCCTCCCCTCATTGCCATGCCGTCCTTTCGTAATACGGTTTTCCCATGTAGTGATGTTTGTCTCTCGATCGAGCTACAGTATCCCATATCTCCTGTCCACAGTATACAATTGCAAACAGAATCGTTTATTGCGGAAGACATGCCCGGGGGGATTGATGAATGTCTCAGCGTACACATATGGACATACCCAACAACGGGGGAAGGGACCGTAGACATGGGACTTCGGAATTTCGATCAAGACTTAGCCAATGGGGGAGAGGGAGTAGGAGGACGAGGTGCGGGGTGGGGTGGGGAGGATGATGGGGAGAAGCATGGGCTTGGGCTTAGGTTTGGGCTCAGGTTTGGGCTTCGCTTAGGCTTAGCTTAGGCTCATACTAGGCATGGGCTTAAACAAAGGCTTGGGCTTAGGCTTGGACTAGCTTAGGCTTGGCTTCGGCTTAGCTTGGGTGTAGCTTAGGCTTAGCTTAGGCTTTGGCCTAACCTTACCCATCAGTTACCCCATCAGTAGATGACCAAGGCCGGGGAACAGGGGCGGAAAACGAAACGTGAGGTGGGTCAAAACATTGCACATAATTCCAGATATACCGAGGCGCTACAGGACGGGAAAAGATTTACTCGTTTTCAGGAGAGAATTGGGTGGGTGGGGATTCTGATGATGACGTGGAGGCGTGAAACTGGGTGGTAGTGGTGGTGGGTTCGCATCAAAATTTGTGCCTAGAAGGATCGGATAGGAACACCGGTAGGGAGGGGACTGTAATTTAGAGCCAATAATTGGGGAGGTGTATATAGGTGCTGGGTGGAAAAAGGTGGGGGATTTTGGAGATCTTAGGGGCCACTGCAATTATTTTCGGGGGATATTTTAAGTAGAATCCGGGGGAACCCTGGGGCTTCGCCTTCTATAAATTAATAAAAAAAATAGAAAACAAATTGCATCTGCAAATTGGGGCCCAGACTAGAACTAAATGTGACGAAGAACAGAGAGATACGCCGCCCTAGGGGTCCCTCTAAATTTAAGGGATTTTAGGGATAGGGTCAACCTTTTCGTGGTGCTTGTGTGAAATCACTAACCGTAGAGAGTGCCTAGAAATGTGAGAATGGGGGTGAGGGGGATGGGGGTCGGGGGAATAAATACGACGAATTTACAAAAATGCAGGACGGGGAGGGGAGATCGAGGGATTATCGCAGTCTCAGCGCGAGGTATTCATCGAAGAATTTGTCGTAGAAGTGCTTCCTGAAAAAAAGTGATTTTAATAGAGTTTTTACCATATAAATTTTAATGTTATCGGTGCTTTCAACAAAATTTTTTTAAAGGCATTGGGGTGTTTTTCTTGAAAAATTGTGATTTCATTGATGGTTTTGATACTACTATTTATGCTAAAAATAACATTGAAATTTTACTGACGGTCAAATTCTAATTTTTTGGGTATTTTAATACTTAATTCTACTCAAAATAAACCTGTAATTTCGATGATACCTTCGACTAAGAATATTCAAAAAATTTTCAAACAACATTATACCTTAAATTTGTAATTTGTAAGTTCAAAATTTTAACAAGTATTTTTAATAGCAAATTATACTAAAAACCTACGTGAAATGCTCTGGGCTGAGAACGGTGTGGATCCCGCGATGTTCCTTCCTTTCGGCACGACGCACAAGTTTGCGGATACCGCGTGGGTTGTCGGCAAATTCGTGCACTAAAGAGGAATTTTAGGAACTTATATATAATTTTTAAAAAGCTGAATTCGTATTTAATTTAGGGTTCCGCTATACCTGATGCGAATTCAGTTTCAATCGAGTCATCCGGGTTGGCGCTGCTGCTGCCGCGGTAGACGTGAAGTCCGGCGAGGAAGTTGCAAGCGATAACGCCTGAAAAATAATATTAAAATAGTTGTACAATTTTATTTGATTGTTTTTCTTATCGCTTTTATACTGTGTTAACATCCAGCTCCCTGTGTGGTCCCAAACCCCCGCTTTTTCCAGGTCCAAAGTGCGAAATAACGCCGGAAAAACCTCTCTGTTTATTCCCTCTTTTTTGTGTGCACTGTGGTTGATCATGGGCGTTTTTCTACGAGTTTTTCCACCCTCCTCCTTTTTTCTACATGAATCAGCGCTTCGCCAAACTACTTGTTGCGAGAATTGAGGGGGTGCCTGGTGCCTCTCAATGATCTCCCCTGGATGGGTGTGGGCGAGGCGGAGGACGATGTTTGTCTACTTTTTGCAAAAGGTCAAAAGAGGATTGAGGTAGTGTGGGTCATAGTATTGCATTGTACTCTGGAAAATCGGCACCCTTGAAAAGCTGAGGAATGTTGGAATGTATGAATCAAACTAGGTATACAAAACTAGAGTAAACTTTCAATTTTTCTTTATATCTCTTGCTCTCTCGCCGTTGTTTCTCGCCCTCTCTCTCTCTCTCACTTTCTCTCTCTATCTCTTTCTCTCCCTCCCTCTCTCTTCTAACGCGTTATATCACTCGCTCTCTCCGGCTATATTTCCCTCGTTCTGGCGCTCTCGCTCTCTCGCGCGCTCTCTCTCTCACTCTCTCTCTCTCTCTCTCTCGATACCACTTCAAAAACTCACTGTATTTCTCGGCATCATCATGGGAGAAGTGCAAATTTTTGACCAATTTTTCAGTGGTGATCGCCTTGACGGAGTTGGTGGATTGGCAGCGGGGGATGCGAATGTCTTAAAAAATACATAATATAAAATATACTACAAATTGTTAGCTGAAAGGAAAGGCTCGCGAACAGTGAGGTAGGCTCAAGAAAGCCTCGTTTTTTTTTTAGCTCTCAAAATCCACCCAAATTTCTTGAGCCCTACGTGAAAAACTGGTTCTTTCGCATTATCGGGGGGGGGGGGGACCAGCATTTTTTAGGCTTTCATTTTTCAAATATAAATAGCGGAAGTGTTTTTAGATGGTTTTTTTTGCTATTTTTAAACGTGAAACGTAGCAAAGTTTCTGTTAGACAATGCAAAAACATTGATTCTTCAGCCAAATATTTTTGACAAAGATTGCAATTTTTTGAACATTTTTTAGCGTTTTTAGATAGTTTTTCTAGTTTAAATATAGCTCAACATTGGTAAAAAAAACTATTAAAGCACTTACTAGGCAATGATAGACTTATATATATTATACAAAAGCATTCGGTCCCCCCGATAACGCGAAAGAACCGAAAATCTTGCTAGGGTGACAGGTACTCATAGAAAAAGGGAGGAGGGAAAAGCCGGGGGAGAAGCCCGAGAAAGACAGTAAAGGCACGGCACGACACGATGCGAACCTTGCAGAAATTCTGGCGGCTCAGGGGTGGCCGTTTCCCCTGGAAGGTGCGAGGAAAACCCGTAAGAAAATCCAAATAATCACCTACTTTTCAGCGATCCCTTGATGCGGTTGCGTTGGGTGTGTACGAGACGATCCGGGGAAATCACTAGAAGGGTTGGGGTTACGGTAAATGGGTTTAGATCGTACTCTGATTTCCGTGAGAGGCGTTGAGGGGCACAATTTCGGCCATTAGCCAGACGAAAAGGCAGAAATGCGAGGGTCCAACTAAAAAAGTTATAGGTATATATATTTTAAAATACAATTAGTTGCATGTATTTCATTAAATATAACATTTCATATAGATTTCTTAGGTATAATAATACATTAATACAATTATATCTAGTGTTTTCTTACCGTAATTCCAGTTAATACCGCATTTATCGTCGATATCAAGTTGCAGTTCGTTTAATGGGATACTCTTGTATACCGGATGCATGACGGCACTAGAAATTCCGACATCATTTTGATTTTAAACGTCCCAAAACTCACTTTTCGCGCTTAGAATGCTGCAACCCGAGGGCATGCCCAATTTCGTGGGCCAAGACGTAGGGGAAGAACGTGTTTACAGAGCTGTAAAAATCATATAAAAATTTATTAAACTGAATCCTTACTTGTCCGAGTCCATATCCCATTTTTCGGCATCGTCAAAATGAATGTCGCCGTTCAGGCGAGTGGAGACTTGATAGTCGGGGAAGAATGTGTGGGCGAGAACGTTATTTGGGCTGCCAGTACCATCGAACTAAATATAGATATATTATTAATTGGGTTTTTATAGGTATACCTAAATTTATTAATTCTATAGATACTTATATATAAAATTAGACACACCACATAAGCATCGCCGTGGTCTCCCTCGGCCCACATGATGTTGATGTCGGCCTTGTCTTCAGAGGAGGCCTCCTCGAAGGTGATCGACATGTGGGGGAGCGCATTGATGGCAAGTTGCTTGGACCAGAGCTCGAAGCCTTTTTGAACTTGGCTTCTGAAAAACGAAGAATTCCTTAGGGTTGGTTTAGGCTTGGCTGAGGCTTGGCTAAGGCTTGGCTTAGGCTTGGCTTAAGCTTGACTTAAGCTGGGCTTAGACTTGGCTTAGACTTGGCTTCGGCTTAACTTAGGCTTATGCTTAGGCTTGTCCTTATGCTTAGCTCAGGCCTAAGCTTTGCCTAGGCTTGGATCATGCTTTAGTCCGGCTTAGCCTAGGTTGTGACTGAAGCCTAACTTGGCCTTAAGCTCATGCTCATGCTTAGCTTAGGCTTAGCTAAGCTCTCTCTAGGCTAGCTTCGGCTTAACCTTTAGCCAAGTCAATTTTTAAAGGCCCCGTAACTCCCAAAGACTCACCTAACAGCCGACCGGGACAAATCCTTCGTGTACTTGCTGATAAACCACTTCAAGTGCAGCTCGTTCTCACTCTTGAAATGCTCGGCCGACCACCTCGAAGATTGTGCCAGCACTAAAATTATTTTTGTTCCGGTTTCCAGTCGATTTTTTGCTTTTCTGCTCCTTCATCCCTCCAAACCCTAAACCTTTTCCGATCCCCTCCTGTTTGCATTTCGACCTCAACGGTCCAGGAAATCCCTCGGGGAGGTAAAAAGGGGTCTTTTCCAGGTTTTTACGATAATACGATGTGTGCAGCCGGGTGGTAAACAAACACAAAAAGGTAACCAGCGACACACATAGCAGTTTTTGGGGGGTAGGGAGGGGGGAGTGGTAGTAGAGCTAGAGGCCTGTTTGTTTTGCCGCACCTCGAACTCTTGACCGCTAGGGCGGGGGTAGGGGTGCGGTTTTTGGGTTGAGATTGGTGGAGATGAGGATCCGGGCGGAGCGCAAGGAGTTCAGGTTTTCACCCTTGACATCATAGGAAAGTCAGTGGTTGGTCGGGTGTGGGGAGGGGTTGTTGACGAAAGCTAACCGGGGTGCGGTAACGCTTCTTTGTGTCTTTTTGGGGGCTGGAAAGGGCAAGTTCGGGGGAGGGGTACGGTACTCTCGGCGGTGAGGCTTGGGAGGGGATTTTCTTGTTTTTGGGTTTTAAAGGGACTAGAAACAGGGTTCTGGTTAGTTGAGCTTGAACATTGAGAAGACTTGCCACAGATTAAGACTTCGGTTTCGGTTTTGCTTACTTCGTCTTAGCTTGGCTTAGGATTGGCTTAGGCTTAGTTCTAGGTTTAGCCTAGGTTTAGGCTTTGCATAAGCTTAGGCTTAGGCTTAGGTCTGGTTTGAGCTTAGCTTTAGGCTCAGGCTCAGGATTAGCCTATTGAAAATTTTATAAATTCGACAACAGAAGAGAGATCCAGTTGATTTTGTTAGAGCCCCATTAAATCTCCAAGAATCTAGCCTTATGAACACCTTTAAAAGTTTGGGATCAGTCTAACCAATTTTTGGTTTTTTTGCGGACCCATGCAATACTATAGCCACAAACCAAAAGCTCCGAAAAGCTCCGAAAGCACCATCACCCTCCCCCACCCCATCCACTTTCCCCACGATTCCCCACACCCGCAAATTTATTCCAAATGCCATCTCTATGATGGCCGTTTGGGAATCTCTCTTCGTGGGGGCCATTTGGGAATACACCATTCTGACTCAACCTCTTTCTCCCACAACCCACATAAAAAAATCGATCCCCATCTTTGGTTTTACACCTAAAAATATTGAACCACCCACCCGGGACATCCTTCATTCACCCCAAAAATGGGCTTTACGGATCAGCTATCGGTGGAAGGGGGGATCTCGGGATTTGGCCTAGATCACCCGAAATGAGCAGCAGCAACGCGCACTTGCTGATAGTGCCGGATGGCACGGCGTTTTTTGGAGGGAATGGATTGCGAAAAGCGGGTGAAAGTGAAGGGGTGGTGACCCAAAAATCCGGGGGAGAATGGTGGGTGAAAGCTGACCGAAACGGCGATGGCGATTCTGGTTCGACGGGATATCCTTGATTGCACAGCGTGGGGCTTTTGAGGCGGCCACTGTTGCCGAGTCGATGATGCCCGTCTGAAAAAAATGGGATTTAAATCGTTTGAAGAGTTCTGAAGCCTAAAAATCCCATTTTTATTTTTGTCCGCGACACGCGACGCCACCGTTTCGCTTGGCCGATTCCAAAGGTGTAATTTCGCCTTGTCTTACGTAAAGCTAGACGCGTTGCGTGTCGCGGTTGTGGCCAAACCTGACCAAGCTAAAACCAAAAAATCTATTTATTTTGCCTGGCACCTTCCTCTAGAAATTCGCGTCAACCGGAAAAAATGTATTTTAGAAAAAATTGCGTCGAATAAAAAATTTAGATAAATCTATTTTTAGCCTTTTTCTGACATATGCTGTCCAAAAACTATTTGATCAAACTCCAGCCCTCCCGAAAACATTTCCGGTTACGCACTCGACTTCCGGCAAAATTTTAGATAACGCACCACGGGCATTCCGAGAATCTCCTGGAGCTGAGCAACAGCCGCCTCCAGCTGCTCATCGGTGGGGCTCCTGGTGCTGAGGTACCCATATCGCATCAGGTATTTCTGAAAAAAAAACAGGTAGAATGTTGTATCAAATCCTCTATAAATTCTATATAGGTGGACAATTTTCTCTAAAGTTATAACTACAATTCAAATAAATTTTTCTGTGACATTGATTATTATTATTCTCAAACTCCCAAATCTGGGCTATTCGACAAATCTCGAGAGTCGGTCTCGACCCATAATCGGGCTGATGGGCTATCCATTTTGGTGTGTGTGAGTGTGAGTGTGTTGTTCTCGATAGCCTGTGCCCCACTTTTACGGTATGCCCGCCGGGTCGTATCAACCCAAAAATTTGGCGGTTGAGGGGAGGAAATGCATAATTTTCTAGGATAGCTTTGGTTTAGGCTTCCCTTACTTTGGCTTATACTTGGGAGTGGCTTAGGCCTAACTTAGGGTTTCGCATAGCTTCGGCTTGACTTGGACTTAGGCTTAGGCATAGGCTTGTTTGGTATAAGCTTAAGAATGGGTTTAGGCTTAGGCTTAGGCCCTGGCTTTAGTTTAGGCTTGGGCATAGGCTTATTAGGCTTAAGCTTAGGCTTGGCTTAGGCTTAGGCTTGGGAGTGGTTTAGGCCTACGCTTAAGCTCGGTTGCTATAGGCTTAGGCTTAGGCTTAGGTTTACGCTTAGGCTAGGGCTTAGAATTGGCCTTCGCTTAGGTTTGGTCTTAGGCTTAGGCCTGTGCTTGGGCTTTGGCTTGGCTTCAGCTTATGCGCATGCTTAGGCTTGCAACGCTCAAAGTAAAGAAAAATCAGCATAAATCAGCTCTCCATTCTTCCGAACACCTGCACTTTTAGCTTGAGGACAGTAAGATCAAGAAAGAGCGTCGAAAACCTAAAAAACGCCGCATTTTCCCACGCACTTGCGCCTGGTGAGCAAGAGAAAAAACTCAGCGCCGCGGGTTAGGCAGCTAAAAAACAAAAGCTGGAGGAAAAGTGCAAGCGGACAATATTTGAATGTATGGAATAGAGAGAGACAGTATAGGAGGCTGGGGGAGGTGGGTAGCTTATCAGGTTAGGTTGGTGTCTACAACTAGGCACTCTGTCCGACCGAGACCGACCTTGAGGGGAAGATCGGCTCGCTGGACGGGGCAAAGCGGACTGTAGGCGCAAAAGATGGGGAATATTTTAGGTATTGTTAAATTGATTTGATGAGCGGTAATTGTGGTTAAAAAATTTTAGAACCTGGAAAATACGAAAAAGGGGAAAAATTACGTGGCAAGCGGACCGCAGCGTGACCGCGGCTCGAGGGAGATCAAGAACAAAATTAGAAAAATTCATGGCTTTTTCCGGAAAATTCTAAAGGGATTGTGACGCCACCAATTGGAAAATCCATAGCAAAAATTATAGAGAAACGCTTCAGGAGCCCAGAAGTCATGAATGTGGATGGCCCGAAGCATCACCTGGACGCTTAACAACCTCCTTAAAATCTGAATTGACTATGTTATCTATTAAAGTTTGTAATTTTAGCAGACGCGATTATTGCGTAAACCCCACAACGTTCCGTAGATCCCTTAAGTTGAAAAACCCTTTAACAACCCCTACCCCTAACCCAAAACACACTCCCCCCTTAAGTGCAAACCCTTAGGAAATCGCATAGGCACCAAATTGACCTCGTGCTCACATAGACTCGCTCAAAGAAATGCCCGTCTGCCCGCCGATCGCCCGCCGTCTAATCCATTCTCAGACCTCCCGCTCATTGGCAGCTCAAGGGCAATGAGACCCAACCAGCCAGTCTCCCCATTTCCTAGAGTATTCTGCATCACTAATCGGGTTTTTTCGAAAAAGACCCTTCGCGAACGGTCCTCACTGTATCTCTCCTCGTGCTCCTTCCTCTCTCTCGCTCTATATCTCCCCTTCTCGTGCTCCTTTCTCTACTCTATCGCCAGCATGGATCTGCATTGGCCCCGTCGCGTCAGATCGGGATCCCTCCCTCCCTTTTTAGGCCCCTTTAAGGTCTTTCTCCACCTCATCCTCACCCCCGGTCTAGCTCAAAAATTATCCCCAATCAATTCCCACTATTCCTATCCACTCCCAACCCTCTCATTCCAGAGCTTTTCTTTATCTAAGCCCAGAGAACTGCGGGGGCGATAGCGGCTCCCGCGGGGGTTTGTGTATAAAAAATGCGCCACAAAAAATGGCCGATGGGCAGCCGGGGAGCAGGGGCAAAATGCGTAAAAACGTGTAGCGGGCATGTATGGTCAGTAAATTGGGGTTTGGAGGCAAAGGGGAAAATTGAGGAAGCTTTAAAGGTACATGGGAGTGAAAAAAGCAAGAAAATGTGTGGAAAAATTCAGAGAAGGTGAAGAGCATCAAAAAGCTGTAAAAAGAGTTTTGATAAATTCAGTAATTAAATAGAAGCATAAAAGGACATCAAAAATATAGAATAATAGTAGAGAATAGAATAAGAGTGTTCAGAAGGTTGAAAAAGTTAGAGAAAAAATTTCCGCTATCGGAAATTGTCGAGAAAATTAAATGAATTTGTATAGCGAGGAAGAAGAAGCTTTAAAAAGCCTAAAATGGCTTAAAAAAATCCTAGAAAAAATAAATACTGGAAAACTCGTGCTGAAGTGAAGGAGCAGCAGCTAGTTGGGTGACTTAGGCTTTGCTACCCTTCAAAAATTCTTAAAAAATTACAAGTCCAAAAAATTCTCTGTAAGGCTACTGTAGCTCTGTTTCCTCCGCAAAAATATTTAATACAAAAGCATATAGCTTACAACGATATGCACCCGGTCGCTGTCCTCCTCATCGTCATACTCAGCAACGTGGCGGCGCTGGCGGGCCGCCGGGGAGGCCTGTAGCAGCAGGAAAAGCCCGGCCAGAGTTAGCCATGCCAAACGGGACGTCGGGAGGAGCATCACCCCCAAAAACAGAGCCCGACAATGCCCGAAGAATGATGGCCCGGCAAAAGCAGCCCAGAGCAAGCACCACCCCCTGCGACACAGCCACCCAAAGACCCCCGCAGGGCGGGCGCACGGGGGATAGCCCACATACAGCCCCCGCCCCTATTCCACGCCCCCCACACCCCAACCCCAAAACGACTAGAGAACCCTTTTTGGCCACGCCTACCGCTGACCGGCTAGATACATCGGCCCCACCCACAACATTTCTTGTATCTGAAGGATTTTAACAGACAAACTACTGTAGCTGGCTTGAGAAGAGAGGAAAAGAAGAAACCAAAAATTTCATAAGTATTTTAAAACTAAGTGCGTTTCGCTACCCACTACCTTTCTGCTATGTTAACGGATTTAAGGATTTAAACGAAAAACTACCGTAGCGGACGTCAAAAGATATACAAAAACGAAAAACTGACAAAATTTTGAAAATTAAGTAGGACTCGCGACCCACTACGTTCCTTCTCTACTACCGATTTTAACAGGCAAGTGCTACTACTGTAGCGGAACTGAGAAGGGAGGCAAAAAGCTGAAAAATTCTAAACTTTGTCCTTCTTCAAGTCTAAGGGTTGTGTGAATAGTACGTCACGCTACGCTCTACGTTTCTTGTATACTTCGAATTTTAGCAGACAATAATCGGTATGTATTGTAACGTAACTCTTTGAAGTGTAGGGGTAGTAACTCGTACTGACGCTCCACCCGCCTACCCCCACTTCGTTCGTTTCGATACTAACAGATACCAACCGACAAACTATGTACTGTGTAGCAACTCGTACTTATTGCACCAGGGTATCGAATCGCATTACCTAAATTAGCAGTTTTAGGGTGGCATCTATAAAATGTGGTACGTCTCGGGGAGATTTCCGGAAAAGTAATTTTTCGGGTTTCTCAAAGCTGTGCCTGGCCAGAAGACAAGAACATCTAAACTTCAATTTTTTAAACGATTCTAAACATTTTTAAAAATAGTTTTAGCTTCAGAAATTTATTTTATACTAGTCTCATGCACGAAATTCTTGGAATTCGATGACGAAATCGGGGGAAAGATCGAAACCGCGTTGAGACGCAGCTTGGTCTGATTTGTAAGATTGATGCGTCAAATTTTTTTCAATTTTCAGAACTTCAACGGCCCTTTAAAAGACCAATGTTGCAAAATGCTTCAGTTTTAAACGCGTTTAAAAATCCGTTTGTGTATGTGGCATCGTGTGTGTATACGTTGCCATGCAAGCAACCCTTGAAGAAAGTGCTAAAGAGTGGACTTTTCAAGGCGTTTCTTAGCACTTCCGGCTCCGCTCTAGCTTGAAAAGAAAAGCAGAAGCTGTTAGAGCAGCCGAAATAAGCTAGAAAATAATTGATGGTACTTAAAAAACGAGATTTTGACATTTCAAACGATTTTCCAGCAGGTTTCCCGTTTTCGGCGAACTTCCCAGGCATACTGTAGGTACATACGATACATTACGGTCTCTTTTTTAGTTTTGCAATCGATGAAGATGATAAGAAGTGGTTGGGCTGGAAAAGAAAAGGCCACCCAGCAAGACACTATTCCCCTCTGATAGATGACGGACCGTTTCCGCTCCCCCCCATCCTCCTCCTCATCGTCCCATATATCGGCTTGTCAAAAACGGCGGGGCTGGGGCTGAAGCTGGGAATGATTGGAATTGCGGATGTTTGAGAGGCGTCAAGGTTGGGGGTTTGAGTGTAGTAAGATACGGTGGGTGGTAAGGTAGGTATTTTGGACCTTACAGTATCAACCCGAAGGAGTTACAGATTGAGCACGAGCTCACTTCATGATTTTTTCTGGTTTTCGCTTGGCTCGTTTAGATACTTTTAAGGTAGATCTGGTTAGATAATTTAACCTTGCTGATGAAGCTGGCAGGCTTACAGGCTAAGACGAGCTTGACGAAGAAGTTGCGTAAGTGCCTTCCTTTACGGTATTTTTTGTTTTTAGTGAATTTTATTCTATTTTTATTACTTAAAAGAATAAGAATCAAGCCCGAGAGTCCGGAAAGCGACCCCTTCCCAGGCCCCCCTCCGTATCTCTCAGGCCACTTTTTTCGTCGCTTTTTGTCGTACCCACGAGTCGCCCGCCAGCTGGACGGTGGATTTTAGCAAAAAGGGATTGTTATTTTAGTCTTTAGGTAACTTAAATTAGTATTAAGCCTCATAATCAGCAAACAACTTAATTTTTAGTCGCTAAATTCCAGGTCAGATTTGTTGAACCGGTAGCGCGGTCTGGATGGTAGAGTTTATCGTTATAAGTTGTTGTAGAAAAAGTTGTTCTTCGTGATGTTATTAAATGTCGTAATTGATTTATGTAAACATTTTCATTACTAGAAAAATATTTTAAGCAGGATTAGATCATTTCCGCCATTTTTCGAATCGGATAGCCGGCATGTCCGGCAAGATACTCCCAATTTTGAGGTTTCCGAGTTTTTAAAAAACTTTTAAAGGTAAAGTTACAGTAATAAACTAATTACAAAATAGCTAGGCATCAGTATTGTTTAAAGTTAGCTATTGTTCGGCCATCAAAGGCTCCTAAACCTTGTCATTTTTGGACGCTCGCAGATACATTCTCGCAGATTCACCAGATTCTAAAAGCAAAAAATGCATGCTAAGAACTTGCAATAGCTAGGCTAAAGTTTCATCGAAAAATGAGTATCTTTAAACCATCAGAAGCTCGTTAATTTTTAGACCCAGTCCCATGGCACCTATCAAAAAACCAACAAAACCCTCGTGTCCCCAAAGGCATCCGGGAAGCGTTTTTTCGAAATCACAGCTAGCCGTCCTATCCCCCTGCTGAGCCATGCAAAAATAGCGGTGTTTGGCACACGTTATAGTTATGTCAACGAAATTGGGAGAGGCCGATAACTCGAGTGAAACCGTGGGCACTGCCGATTTTCCCACGATGGTTAAGCTGGTCGGGGTGTAAAAAACTGAATCCCCGCACCTCAACGCCAGGGAGGGAGCATGCTTTCCATTTTTAAAATCCTACCGTACTCTCTAGGGAGAGGAGAGCGACTGTTCCAGCTGTGTCAATCTGATCATTCAGAGTTTTCCACCCAGCCCGCTTCAACCCTAATCACACCAAAGAGCTTACCAAACCAAAAAACCCTGCTTCTTTTCCAGCTGCCTGCGTCGTTGTGAAAAGCCATTTTTTCACACAGCGTTCAAAGTTTTTTTGAGGAGCCGCGAGAGGCAGGCAATCTGTGATTTCACCTTGGGGGAACTGAAAAAGAAGAAGAAAAGAAGAGGAAGAGAGGGACACACACACAGCCTCTTTTGACTTTTTCGGCCATTACGTCGCGCTCCGGTCGGCGGATCTGTGTGCCGATTTTGGAAAGAACGGTCGGCGGGGGTGCTGGGGGTTTTCCGTACACTTTTTGTGGTTGTTGTTTTGAGAAAAGATTAGTGAAGCTGTGAAGCGGGTGGAGAGTGTTAATTTGGTATACTTTTGCAGGAATCATTGCTTATTAAAGCGGTAGCGAAAAAATTCAAAAAAATACAGGGCTTAATCGCTAAATTATGGAAATTAAAGGTACGAAATATTGGTAAAGCTGTGAAGAGGGAGGTGAGCTTTGGTTTGATATACTTTTGTAAGGTATCGTTGTATCATGGGTATCGCCTTGGAAATACGTGTCGTAATCGATAAACCATCGACATAGCGTTTTTAGGCGAAACTCTTCGGTATATTTTGAAGACTTTGTAGAGATGTGAAGATGGCAAAAAACGTTAACATAGTGTAGTACAGGTAAGGGATCTGACCTTATTACCGGTATCAAAGAAACCGTTAGAATACCTGTCGTAATCGATAAATCATGGAAATTAAGAGGGTTTTCATCGATTTTAAAGAAAGCTTGGTGCATCTGTGAAGAGCGTTGGACGTTAATCTGGTATAATGTTTGTATGGCATTACCGTGTAATGAGAATCGCTTTGGAAATACATGTCTTAATCGATAAAACATGCAAATTAAGGCGTAGCTGCAAGATTTTTATTCAATGCTTTCCTTATTCATATTTTATAAAAATTATCAAAGTTCCTAAGAGCAATGAGTTGTTAAGGTAATATAATTTTTTGAGTTATCGCCGTTTATTAAAAGGTATAGAATAATATCGTAATAACTATCGTAATCAATACCTATCGTAATCAATAATTTGTGCAAATTATTATGCCTAAAGCCGGTAATACTAATTCAAGTTATTCTTTTTTATCTTAAGCCCCCATTTCCTAGAAAAACCGATCGATTACCGTACTCAAGCTACGATAGACTGCCCTTTACCCCGAACCCCTAGCAATGCTGGACACGGATGCATCGCATTCTCTCTCTCACTCTCTCTTGCTCTCTCTCTCCCTCTCTCTCTCTGCGCTGACCTGACGGTTCTATACGAAAAAACGGGACGCAAAAACCCGAGAAAGAAACATCGCGCCGAGGCCTTGGGGGTCAGGCTTCTAGCCGTCCCCCAATTTGATAAATAAAAGTACTAATCTGGGGGATAACCAGAACATAACTTTTCATATATCCCACCGAGGGATACTACCGAGACACGAGATACCAGGCAAGTGCAAAACCAAAAAAAAGGATCAGGCTATGCAACCCCTATATACTGTAATCGGGTGGATGTTTGTTTGACCGGTTGGCCGGGGAAAGGGATCTTTTTCTGCTCAGTTTTTAGGGCAGTTCTCCGGATTACTTTCCACCGGGGATAAGCTAAAAATGCAGATAATTCAACATGCAGAGTGGGAGTCCTTGGTATAGACAACATTTTGGATTAGGAAGGTGCATGGTGGAAACTGTAGGCGTTCGATAGAGTTGCTCGTAGCTGGTTATTTCTGGCGACGCGGGAAAATCAGCATTTTTCAGCGTTCACCGGGGATAGGAAACTTGATGCGAGTTGACAACCTGGGGTGCGTGATCCGGGAAAAGTTGCGAACGCGGGGAAATTTTGATCTCGTGATTGCTAAGGAGCTGGGGGATATCAGGTTTTTAAAGGGACGAATATAAATTTAATGGATGATCTACAACATATTTTTGATTAAAGATTTGTCACGGTTTTTTGGGCTTTGACGACATGCAATTTCGACCGCGGAACTCAGGAATGTAAAATTCACGCGCGTGCGTGCGCGTTGCGTATCGCGGTTAAAGTTCTAGGGCAGGCACTCCGGCCCGCGACACGCGACGCGCGTGGTACACTGCCTTGGAAGAAGCGTAATCCATTACGCAATGAAATTTCGAGTGAGACTGTGCGTCGCGTATTGCGGAGCTAAAAATCCATAGTTTCGACTTGCAGGTTCCTTTAGAAATGATTATTTTTTATCGGCAAGTCAGGGGCATTTTCTGGCCCGCGACACGCAATGCGTCGAGCGCTCCGAAAGGGTCATGGTCCGGTTGCGTTGCGCGTCGCGGTATCTAAAATTCATAAGCTTTTGTGTTTAGCATCCTTACCTCGCCCTCCTACCTGATCATCTCCAGAACTTATTCTTCTCCCCCACAAATACTTCCGATTCGCCCGAATAGAAAAGGTGTTGATATCCTGTTTCATTGATAGCCAACCCCGGGCCGATACCCACTAATCGGGCGGATGCTAGACGGATATTGAAGGTTGTCTACCCGGTCAAGCCCGTCATTGCCCCCGCCCAACGAGGAGCACGAGCCGGAGCAAGAGCACGGCTAGCAGCCTGATGCTCCATCAAACAAGAGGCCAAAGATTTCCTTGTTGACAATTTGTCTCTATCTTGCGCGAAAAGCAGAGCGGGGGTTACTAGCTCGAAAAAGACTCAAGGCTAGGGGAGGATGAGGATAGGGGAGGGCCACCCTCACAGCCCTCGACGGGTAACCAATATGACCTCGAAAGCGAGAGAGGGAGAGATCTTGAGATCGTCCTCAGCCTCCTCATTCTCCCTCCTCCCTACCCTCTTGCTCCTCTAGGAGCACCACCACCAGACAGACCATGGAACGACCCACCCACATTCCCACACCTTCCCCCATATACCCACGAAAGGGTGGACCAATGGGAAAGAGGGGGGGGGGAAGGGGGAGCAAAAGTTTTTTACGTAGTTTCTGACATACAAAGGCGGGAAACCTTGAAAGAAACGATATGGCTACAAATTTTGCCGCGGCGGGCAACTCTTATATTGAATCTAATCGATTATGCGTTTTAAAGGGGCTCTAGCAGCAGGCCCCTTTTCCGCGAATCGTCGAAACGTCGCGGTCGGGTGCGTCGCGGCAGGGAGAGAAAGAGCGCGCCGAGAGGAGAGACGCAGACAAAACTCTGCGTCTCTACCCGGCCCTCAAAATGTCGTAATCGGTGTGCTGCCAGAGCCGCTTTAGTGACCGGACGGTGCGTCGCGTGTCGCGGCACCCAAGGCACACAAGAACTATCGATTTTCTTAGCTGTAGATTTCGATATGTTTTGCTGTTTTTTGCCGCGTCACGCGATGCATCAAGGTGCCTTTGCAAGATTCCGGCCCTAATTACTTACGCGATCAAATAGGTGGGCGGCGCGTGGCGTGTTGCGGCGTCTAAAGTCGCAGTTGCACAGTCGTCGTTGCGGAATTACGTGGCGTGGTGGCGTGTTTCCCAAAATAGTAAAATCTGGACTGTTAACAGTTCGTGGCCAAGCCTCGCCGGAATTTTTAAGGGACAGAGCCACCTAGAGACCTAGCCTAGTCTTAAGACTATATGCTGTCACTGTCCTTTTAAAAACACTACCGTAGCCCCAAAGCATTTACAATCTCGCTGCACCTTTTCGTCCCAAAAATCAGCACCTACAGGGTGTCCCAATAAAAAAGGTCACGCTGGCATTTTGCTATTTGAAATCCGATCGTAGTGAAATTTTGCACAGAGGTGCGGAAGGGAATTCAAAATGTTCACAGAAACTTTCAGTCCGATCGGTACAGTCGTTTTCGAGTTATAGCAAAAACAAACTTTATTTTACGTTTTTAACCCGGATTCCGCCGGAATTCGGCCCTGGACTGTATGGAGAAAATGAAGCGCCGACCCTGTTTTATCCTAGGAATTTTTTTATTTCGCAAAATTCAGGTCAAAAATAGGCTATTTAAGTATTTTTTAACAACAGCTAACCACGCCGATGTTAAGAAGAATAAGGGATTTAGAGCCGGAAATTTATGTTAATTGATGCAAAGTCCAAAACGATAGCCGAAAAAATGAAGCTAAAGTGTGGGAAAAACAGTATTTTTACAATAACTCGAAAACTACTGTACCGATCGGGCTGAAAGTTTCTGTGAACATTTTAAATTCCCTTCCGCACCTCTGTGCAAAATTTCAAGTCGGTCGGATTTGAAATAGCAAAATGCCAGCGTGACCTTTTTTATTGGGACACCCTGTATATCATCTAGTTTTTTCTAAAACGTGTTGAAAACCCTCTGCCGATTTTCCTCAAAAACCAACAGGTGCTTTCTCCAAAAAACCTCTAGTTTTTTATGCGAAAAAGACCACCCTTTCATACTTAACCCCCCAGATAGCTGTCCTCCAAAAAATCATGCATAGCCAGCCGGTGCTCAAAAATAGCGACTAGCAGCAAGACTTCTTATTAGTGCATTTTTCCGGCAACGGTCGCTGGGGGTGGCCTGAAAACTGTACGGTAGGTAGCCGTTTTTATATTTTGGTGGCCCGGGGGTTCAATTCTCGGGATTTTTCAGCTGTCGTAGAGGGGATCAAAATAATTTTTTGTAGCCCTTCGGGGTCAAGCCTCGTTTAGGGAGCAACTGGTAGACGGGTGAAACATGCATTGGACTTTTAGAGAGGCGCCAAGAACAGTCTACAATTTGCTGTGTTTTAGTGGGATTTAGAGTACGTGCGAGGCAGGATTATATTAGATTATATTTTTTCTGCAAATTTAAAATGATTTTTACCGCCCCGCAACACGCAACGCATAGCTGTGAATTTCATTGCGTAATCGTTATTGCGCTATGTGTTTTTAAGTGTATCGCATGGTGAATACAGCGAAATACAAAGAAATCCATAACCAAAAAACCTATAGCCAGCCTTCCATGTACCTTTAAAGCGCAAAGACACGCTGATATGTGATTTGACAAATTTCTCCGCCTTTTTAGCTCTTTTCCGGATATATTTTCAGTGTATAAAAGCTGCTGGAAATTTTATATGAGTGTTTGGTAACGTAGCACCAGTTTCTAGGCGTCAAAAAAGTATAGCGCGATTAAAAATATTTCTCTCTGTAATTTTAAATTTTTCTATGAATTATTCGGTAAATCCAACCCTGAATTTTTATCTTTTGCCGTTCCTGAACCCGAAATTGCTTTTTGAACGTCCCCCTAATCCGCGGCAACTTTTTCCACCCGCAAAAACCCGCAAATCCGGATGCGGCGAATATTGGAAAACCAGGAACACTTTATGGTTTTTCAATACAAATCTCGTCATGTGTAATCTTTTCTCTCTTTCACTCGCTCTCTGTCTCTCTCGCTCTCACTCTCGCTCTCTCTTCTCCATATCTTTCTCTCCCCCCCTCTCTCTCTCTCTCTCTCTTTCTCTCTCTTCCTTGTTAGTGTTATTATTCGATATCATTGTTCTTAAAGTTCAAATTTAAAAATATAAAACTTTATTATGTACGAAAAAGAGATGAGCAATGTCTATATTGAAACACTGAGAGGTTGTGCGGGGAAGGCACAATTTTGGGCATTTGCTTGGTTGAGGATATTTCGCGCGGGCCAGGATTTTTTGAAAAGGAGCTCGAGCTACAAATGCATACGGCCCCCGGGTCGGTGGGGGATCCATAAACACTCGTAGCCTTCACAGCCCCTTAAATCCGGCCCTTCAAAAAAGGGGGAGCGAGTAGAGAGAGAGAGAGTGGGCAGGGATATCAGCTAGAAAATGGCAGTTTGTTGAAAGTGAAATGACGCGCTGAGTCATCGGAAAAAAACAGAATTAAAAAAATCACACCTAGCGCACCAAGCTGAAAAATATGGGGGTAATATTTGGTAATTGATTTAAATGTGTTTTATCGAATATAAAGGCTTAAATTAAATCAATTACCATGCGAGAGGGGATTTGGTTCATATAAAAACACGAGAAATCCAGGTATTTTTAATTCCTCGCGTCAGTTTAACTGATTTTAATGTCAACGGGGCGGGACATTTTTAGAGGGGCCTATATAAAAAAATTACAGAAAATTACAAAAAAATGTTGGTTGCTATAAAAAGTGGTTAAACTTTCAAAATTCGATGTGAAAATCGAATAGCAACCAGCGCGATCGATAGGGGGAGAAAAGAAGATAATAAAACCAAAAATAAGCACCGAGTATAAATGGGGGGTGAGGGGGTGGGATAAGATTTGAAATTTGCATTTTAAAATCTTCGAATTTGAATTTGAAGGATATTTGATGTTGTTGAAGGTATAGAAACGGGCATTTGGGGGAGTAATCTCTCGCTAGATGGACAAACTAGCTATTTTTTTGAATGGTTGGGGGGAAGGCTCCTCAGCGGCCGCTCGAGTGCTCCTGTAAATAGAGTTTAAAGCTTATTTAAGAAAAATTTAGATTATCTTTGGAAGCTTCAGGGTTTTAAATAATTTCAAGAGATTTTTAGCATCTTTTTCTTTGATTTTTAAGGTGTTTCTAAAGTTTTAAAATTAGTAAAATGACTTTTTCGGCATTCTTGTAATTTTCGAATTTCTAAGTTTATTTAAATGCACTTTCTAGCATTTATTTGTAATTTTTAAAGTGTCTTTAAGGCTTACAATTGGTCAGGTACTGTTTTCGAATCTCTCGGGGCTTTTTAAGGTTATACAACTTACAGTTTCAGCCATATTTGTATATTTCTAAGCTCTTTTTAGGGCTATAAAATTATTTACGTAATTCTTAAGCCTATTTTTCTGATTTTCAAAGTACTTTTTGATCGTTTACGAGTTTTATCCCTGCAAATTTCGCTATTTCTAGCCGAACACAACTTTTTCCCAACGTAAAAACCACTTTTTTCCCACCGCTACGTTGCGCTCCAATTTCCGCCCTTTCCCGCGCCAAACCACGGCTGTAGGTCCGATATTTTCGGGGCTACAAAACCCAATTTCCGCAGCGCACCTATCCGATACGTTCCCGAATTAAAGGGCACAAAAATTATGCTTTACGGGGGCGAGATTTCGAGTTGAGTGGGAACTTTTTGGGGCTCTCAATTCAGGCAAAAAAGCGAGTTCTAGAAAATCTAATTTTCGGGTGTTATGTGAATGTCTTTGGGGGTATATTTTGTTATAAATATAGGCGATTGGATAGAACTAATTATGCGGAAAATTAGGGCGAAGGGTTGCACTTTTAAGAAAGTTCTCGATTAGGCTGAAAAGTAGACCAAAAAGATCAAAAAATGGAGATCAAAGTTTCAAAAACCTGTGTAAAATGTCCAAAAATGTGAAAAATAATTTACCTCCTTGTAGGAGCGGTGGTACTTCTCCTCAACGACTTCTTGTTGTCCCTGGCTGCTGCTTTGAGCTGCGGCTCCCTCTGAAACGCAGAAATAGAATCTTGAGGTCGAGCTTTGTCAGGCAAACTTTAAAGCCTTTTCAAGCTCAAAAAACCTTTTCCCAACATTCTTTCCACCCTCATTTCCCTCCTTCATCCTCCTCCAGCTCCTCTCCTGTCTCCACAGCCTCAACCTCAGCCTCAATCTCAAGCGAGCCTGAGATCTTTGCCCTATTTTTTTGCAAATGGATTGCCCAAGCGGGGGGAAGAAAACGCGAAAAGAGGAGCTGTGCGGATAGCAGGGGAGCAGGAAGGAGAAGGAGAAGAAGAAGTGGAGGAAGGGATTTGAAAAAGCAAATTCTTGGGTTTTTTGGTTTGGAAATTTAACGTCGCTGTGACGCACCGACGTTGGCGTTAGATGAGGAGAAGTGGCGCATTCGGTCGAGTGTTCTCTCCATCGGCTCGTTGACGATGCCGATCAGGTCGTCGGCCCAGCGCCCGGCGTCTTCGTCTGAATATTCGTGGTGGTGGTGCAAAAATAAATACAGAATTATTTTAGGGTTTTTAGGAGTTTGGAGGAGTTCTAGAAGTGGAATTCGGGAGGTTTAAAGCGACGTAGAAGGTAGGGCTATAGACTTAATGGCCACGAAATTTCTGTGGATTTTGCGATACCCGCGAAACGCGACGCGCACGCCGTAACTTTATTGCGTAAAGTATTGCCGTCTTTTCTTCGTGTCCGCGTTGCGTGTGCGCTGCGTATCGCGGATGATTCGAAATATGTAGTCATGTCTTACCGAGTCTTTAAAGGTATAAGGTAACGGCTACGAGTTTTAGCCGCGACACGCAACGCGCCCGCTATGCGCTTAACAGCTCGTAGGCGATTACGCAATGAACTATGATAGCAGCGTTGCGTGTCGCAAACACGTCAAAACCTATATTCATACCTTATCCACCCTGTAGAGGGACCCACAAGGCATATCTACGAGTTTTCGCCGCGACACGCAACGCGCCCGTTCTACACTTAACAGCTCGTAATCAGTTACGCAATTGAACTTCGAAAGCCGCGTTGCGTGTCGCGTCGTTGGATGCGTTTAAATTTTCGTTTCCTTGTTTAAACCCAAAATCCAAACCCTATTTTTTTTCGCCTACCCTTCGAAAAAGATCGACACTATCTACCACATCTTGTCGCCCTGGCGGCTCCACAAATTTACACCCGTTTTTCAGTGTCACGCGAAACACGGGGTGGCCCCCTCTCTCTTTCCCCCAGTTTTGCAGAGCCCTTACAGTTCCCCCCATCCCCACCCTGAGAAAGACCTCTTTGAGCAAGACCTTTGCGAAAGGGGGGACCGCGTCAAAAACTGTGTGGGCCGCCCCCCGGCCCGGAATGAGGTATCTCCGCTAAGGATCGGGTGCTCAAGGACAGGAGCCTTATAAGGAGCAAGAACAGATAGGTAGCCCGAGAAAATAGAAGGAAGAGGAGAGGGATCGAAGCATGCAACAAGGGGGGGTTGAGGATCAACTAAACTCGTGCTCAAATTTTGGTATAAGGGGGTTTAAAGAGATCGGCAGGTATGGGTATCAATTTTTTTTAAAGTTTAAATTTTCTCGCGTTTCCGGCAAAATTCGTGGTGAATCTATCGTAAAAAATCCACGGCATTTTCATTGCGTAATCTATTAAACCCTTTCAAGACGCGCGTACGCGTCGCGGTTCGCTGCCCAAAAATCCATCACGATACCTTGCCAATACCTTTAAACCACCTCATTATACCATCAAACTCAGGCAGTTAAACTATAAAGTTCAGACTACAAACTAAAAACGACAATCCCATACTCGTGCCGGTGTTGATCTGATGGGTAGCTGTCGAAACGACGGTCGGCTGCTGAGCGGCAGTATATCGGACGGTCGTTGTGTTGGATTGAGCTTGATCTTGGGCTTGTTGAGTCTCAGCTTGCGTGGAAGAGGATTGTTGCTGTTGTTGTTGTTGGGTGGATGACCGGAACGTGTCTGAAGGGATTGGGGATGCCACAAACATAGGGGAAGGATGCCAGGGGGGAGCAGCAGCAAAAGCGCATGCGTTGGGATGCGCTGGGAATGGATTTAGATTTATTCAATTTTGTAGTTTTGTAATTCTCATGTCATTCTAGCTATTAATAAAATTTATATAGTCAAGAAAAAAATTATTAATTTTATAGAACACTCAAAAAGTCAAAATAAATATTGATGATCGGTTTTAAGGTCCGAAAATGTTGTTTATTTCTTATAATCCACAAAAAATTACTGAAAATGATGCTTATAAGTGAAAATTATATTTTTGGTAACCATTAGTGCCGTATAAAATTTTTAAATTGAATGATTTAGCTTTATTTTTTATTTTCTAGGGTTTTTCAGTACCTCATAATATTGCTAACTTCTTAAATTCCTAGCAAAAACGATAAAGTTTAATTTTATTTTTGATTTTTATGTTTTTAAAGCCCAAAAAGATAGTTGACTTGATAACCCACTCCCAAAAAGATTTAGAAAAACTAACGCCAATAGGTGAAAATCCCATTACCTCCAATCATTAACCATAAAAACGCGGTATTTCAGATTTCCTAGAACGTTTTTCTTATTTTTACCTCAAATCCATTCCCAACGCACCCAAAAAAAAACCAAAAGACAGGGTTTTTCTCCGGTTATCAGAATGCAGAAGGCATACCGTAGTCGTAATTTGAATATCCGCGAGCCTTCGATCGGACGCTATCATATCCGGCCGCAGAATCAGATGCATATCCGCCGGGCGACCGGCTCAATGTGTCCAATTCTCTCTGCAACGTTGCCAGGGCATCACGACGAGCATGAGGTGTTGATGGCCCGGGCCTGGAGGCGTCTAGCAGCGTCTGAGAGGCATATCTCCTCGGGCTCCCCACATCCGAGCGAGATCGATAGTTGTATCTCTTGGCATAGGTATCGGTACCCTGCCTCTCGGCCGCATTTCTGGTGATGTAAGAGCTTCCCAGGGTCCCGGAGGCATATCTCTGCCTCTCTTGTCTCGTTTCCTCCCTTGTTGTCGATGAGTCTGCAATCCGGGATTATTCAGGCAAACACACGCATGCCAATTAATTTTGTAAATTTTTACGCTAATTATTTTCTGCTACCCTAGCACCCGGAAATCAACTAAAAATAATTCAACTATTAATGCGTGCACTTGCGTTTTGGGTGGTGCTGGCCGGGAAACTGGCGAAAACTAATCTAGGGATTAATGATGGAATTTTCTTGGGAAATTTGCATCCGGTAAGTAGCTGAACAAAATGCGCAGAAAACGAATCCGAAGTCAGCATGCTTTATGGAAATATTGGAAATTTTAAGGCTTATAGATTGCTAGAAATGCTAATTCCATGCAGTTATAATATAAAATGGAAATATCGAAAATAAAGAAAAATAAGTTCTTTGGCATTATCCGGGGGGGGGGGGTTTAGGATACAATTTTTCTAGATAAATTGAGTATATAAATATTCTATATACATAAACAGCGTTTCTAAGTTGTTTTTACGATTCCAAAATGTAAAAACTTTACAGATTTTAATTAAAACAGAAATTTTTCGATTTTTCGACCAAAAATGCCAATTTTCGAGAAAAATTTAAATGAAAAATTGGTTTCTGAATTTTTTGTGTGGCTGTGTTTCCACTTTAAATATAGTTAAACAAGTTCTTCATTTATAGGACCAAGTGGTGCCCCCCCCCCCCCCCGATAACGCCTAAGAACCGAAAAATCTTTTAATAAAAAAGTACCTCTCGCGAGGGCAGAAGCCGAAAGTGATCGCTTGTTCCTGCCGAGGCTACCGTATCGCTCCTCCTCCGACGCGTACTTCAGATAGTCACCGGGCTATAGAGTGAGATTAGAATGGAAAATGTTAGGTGAAATGTACAGTATAATGGCGGCGTAGGGTGGAGGTCCTGGAGCGGCTGCCGATCTCGTCAAGCTCGTGGGCAAGCTGGGCGCCCGTCGAGGAATAACCAACAAAATCGGGTTGTTGGTTGTCTAAAAACATGCATAAAAATTGTTAATTTTTACTATGCTATATTATACCTTAAGTATCATCAAAAAACACTTACAAACATGATAGATCTTGGTAGAGTGGATCTCGTCTCCCTTGGTCTTTTCGAGGGATGTGAGACGTTCGGTGAGCTCGGTGAGGGATTGCTGGAGACGGCGCGAGTCTTCGAACTATAAAAAAAAATTGAGCATGAGGTACCTTGAGGGTAGCTTACGCTCTTTCCGCTCTTGCCGCTCTTGCAGCCCTCGTTGAAGCCGTCGACGAAGCCCTGCTTGAAGTCGTCTTGGCCTGGGTATTGCTCGTCGAGACGGGAGATGAGGGATGGGGTCACGCGGTCGCCAAAGACGCCCGAGCTGCCGTCCTGGAATTGTTAAAATAGGTATATATATATAGACATTCAGGAGAGTTTAAAGGGAGTGTGACAGGAATTTCAAGCAGTCCAAGGGCTCAAATTACATAAAAAAAATCGGCTTAAAGATGCTGGATCACTGCCTGTTTCTTGCTTCTTGCTCGCACTAGCTATCTCATTCAACTCTCTCTCTCTCTCTCTCTCTCTCTCTCTCTCTCTCTCTCTCTCTCTCTCTAGTCTCTCTCACTCACCCTGTATCCTTGCATAAATCCAGCCGAATAACCGCCGGTGCTCTTCTGGGCCAAGTTGTACATCGAAGTGGTCATTCCACCAACTCCAGCATCACTGAAGCAATTTTTCCATTTTGCTATACCGAATCCTCATCCTTACCGTAGCCCCTTGGCGTATCCTTCATGGAAACGATCCCCATTGGCCCCATATTGGCCTCGAAGATTGTGGCTCGATGAATCGGGAAGGCGTTTGCCATCCTTGTAGCCGGTCATGTATCCATCTTCGAAGTCGCCTTTTACTAAAGTAATTTTTATTGTATCCTACTATATATAAAAAAGTAGTGTCTGTGTGTGTGTGTCGATTTGCATGCAACTTCCGTCTGTATGTCCGGAGGATAACTCAATAGGGGATGAATATTAGGGTACGTCTGATACACCATTAGGTGCGTAATGGCTCTGCGATGACTGCACGCATAACAGAATTATCGAAATACGCTATTTTCGATATTAAAAATAAGTTTTTCTAAAATTTTCGAGAACGCTCTTTGGTAGGAAACAATTAGCGTATACCGGAAGTAGACGAAGCCTATAAAAAAGGATGGAAGAAAAATTTTGCATATTTGTCAGCTTGATCGAGGCTGAATTATGCAAAATTTACAGTTTCATTTGTCCAAACGGGGCCAGGGTTGAAAAGTCGCGAAGCGGCTTTTCAACCCTGGTATGGCTTAATTTAAATTTTTTAATTTTTATCTCTTCTTTATGTACATTTATTTTTTGATTTACCTAATTTTTCTTTCTAGTTTAGCCATTGCCAATCAATTTTGAGTTCATATAGATTGCATTTAAATGATATTTTCCTGGATTTTACCAATTTTGCTTATTTCATTTTAATGTTTAGTCAAAGAAATTTTTATTTATTTTTAGTGTAGTGAATTTTTGATTTTATATAATCCACCTTTTCTAGCACCATTCATTTCACCCCCTAAATCACCCCAATTTTTCAAAGTGCTCGCGTCCCAAATTTTGGTGCCAGGTAGAACCTGCCACCCGCCAACCCACAAAACCCCCAAATAATCTTTCAATGCACGTTTTAATCAACGAAAACGTTTCGGGATTATACTAAATTCGAGGGTTATAGAGATTTTGTAGTCTAGGTGTAAGAGCGCGATAAAAAAGGCATTTTCCAGCTATCCTAGGTTTTAAAAACTTTTTCGACGGTTTTTGGTAAATTCTGTAAATTCTGGAAATGGATTTAACATGCGAATTTGATAATATTGACGGTTTTATAAAAATTTTGTATCAAAAAATCTGGAAGTTTAAGGTGCCTACGGGAAAAATCTGCAGAAATAGCAATTTTTGCTCTCTGGGGTTATAAAAATAGCTAAAAATTGGCAATTTTTTAAATATTGGTTTTAATTCTTGGCAATTTTGCAAATTATTTTAATCTGTTATTTTAAGCGTTCTATAAATGACACAAAATTAAGGGTTGTTCAATATTTTCAATCAGCCTGAAATTCGGCCTGACGGCCGAGAAATCGTCTGCACAGAAAACAAACAAACTTTTCTCGCTTATAGGATAGGTAATTTGCGTTGCTGATGTTTCCAAACTATTTTTGGGCAGATTTTTGCTCGAATTTCCTAGAAAACAACCCGCTACGGTACTTCGATCCAGAGCAGCGACCAACCATTTTTCCTAGAGGAAATCCGGTGAAATCGGCCCGTTTCAAAGGGTCAGTTCCATCTTTTTCAAGCCGCTTTCGAAGTAAAACGTTTTCCTTTGACCGGCACCCGGATTAGCTGACCAATTCCCATAAAATCTCGAAGCGGAAAGCTCTAGAACTGGCGCGGCTGGGCAACAAACGTGATTGGACGCGCAGTTTTGGTCTCATTTGTCTCTCCGGGGACAGAATAAAGAAAATTCTTTGGAAGCGATGTTTTTCAGGGCAGGCCAAAATCTTTGGCCGGGCTAATCCGCTGACCAGCCAGTGGCGCAACTTGTTCATAGGGGTATTCTGGAAGTTTTGAGCCCAAAAGGGGAAAGATGCTGGAATTGTTTTGGGGGGATTGAAAACACAAGAAAAATTTGAAAAATTATTCAGATTTTTGCATGCGGAAGATATAAAAAATCCAAAAACAATAAATAGCCAGAAAAAAGTTAAAATATCGAAATCGAGCTAAATTCAAAGCTAAATTAGCACTCTTCAATAAACATCTACGAAAATTATGGAAATTTTGCCTCGCCAAGTCCTTTAAAAGCTGTTTTTCACGTTGCGGTAACTGTTAAAAACGCAGAATTAATTTTAGGGTTTTGTACATTGGAAATCAGAGACGATAACTAAATTTGAATGGTTTATCAGATTTCTAAGAAAATTCTGTAGATTTTGGCTTCCCAATTCCTTTAAAAGTTTTTGAAATTACGGTAATGCTCGAGAAATAGCAGAATTATTTTAGAATATTTATGTCAATAACCAGGACTACGAGATAAACTCAGATTATTTGGTAAAATTCTACAAAGGTTTTATATTTTTTTCCGAAGATTACGGCACCACTCCCCAGCCTATCCCAACGATCACCCGGTTGCCAACAAGTTCCCCCCGGAGATCGGGAATTTCCATACCCAAGGGCCCCCTTCATTCTATCCCCAATGCTCCAAATGCCGTGTTGCTGTATGCGTGTGTGCCGCATAATCAATCACGAAGAATGGTCGTGCTCCTTTCCAATCTTTCCTGCTCCCTCTTCTCCCCATGCTCAAGTAGGCATCCAAGGTTTTCAGGGGAGGGGGCAGGGGGAGGCTGACCCGGACAGCACCCGGCATAGCCAGCCTCAGCCCCATCCACATCCACAGGGTGTGGTGTTTCCGGGCCGCGAAGCGCGCGCCGAATTAGCCCCGATCACGCAATCGATTTGGGGCAAGAAGACGAGGCAGGCATTCCTTTGCACCAAAAAGCATTGAAAGGGTCTACCCACCACTACCCCGCACAAACAGCCTGGGAATCCCGGATCGGGGTGGCATCTTGTTTTGGCTCAAAAAAGCGGAACTGAGCTCGAGTGGTATTGATTAGATTTTAGGCTAAAAACAAAGTCAAAAAGTTAAATCTGGGACGTAAACAGACAGCTCTAAAATCAAAAAAATGAATGTTTGAACTGGCTTTAAAGGGATCTGTCAGGCAATTTAGCGGTTTTTCAAAAATCCATAATTTCTGACTTCCTGGTCCCTTTAAACCATTTTAATAATTTAATATTCATCAAAAATTCGTTATTTGAATAGAATCAAAGTCTAAAAAAACTTTAAATTCCTTCAAAAATGCTGCCCTTACGGCAGTTAATGGGATTGGCAAGGCAAATATTTTTAAAAACCGTATTTTAACGTTATTAAAGGGTCCGGCAAGTCAAAAAATTCAGCGTTTTTGGCAGTTAGCCGACTCGTCACATTTCAATACATTTAAAATCTAGCTTATCAAAACCTCAGAGAAATCATGTTTTCTAAAACTCCCTAAAATCACCGTACCTTGCGACATCTGGCCGTGCACATTGTTCAAACGGTCTTGTAGTTTGTCGATGTTTCGGTCAACCAGGGTATCCTGAAATTAAATATTACCATAATTAAATGCATAATTAACTAAATAAAAGTATATATAAATTTAAAAAAAAATTTACAGCAAGAAGAGGACGGTGCTGTCCATTGGTCGTTGAGCGGAAGTGGTCCTTTCTAGCGCGATAGCGTCTAAAAATTTTTTTATAAAACTTCCGAAGCTTTTCGCGAATTATCATGCATATTCCATTCCATTCCTCAAAACCATTGCCTAGTCTGGAAAAACGAGAGGACCAAAATCAATGTTTGGTGGGAGACGTGTTTAGTGGCCGATAAAAAGAGCTCGGGAGGCGAATGCAAACAAATCTTTTAGGGGCCGGCGAGAGTCTCTAAGACTTTCCTGAGGACTTGGCAATGGCTTTGAGGCAAAAAAATGAGTAGGAAAGTTGGAGGTGATTAATTTGGGCCGGATTTTGACGATATTTTTGAAAGGAGTCGTTTTCCAAGTTCGTGCTCAATCGGATTAGTTTCAGCCCATTAGAAAACTAGATTTTTCAACTCGAAGCGACTCCTTATTACACATATCCATAAAATCAAGCCCAGAAATTAATAGTGGGATACCTCTGGAGACACCAGAGCAGGCAGCAGCACAACAGGATCAAAAGGAGCAGTAGCAGCAGGAGGAGCAACAACCACCACCACGGCCAGCCGGCCGTCAGGTAGGGAGATGCTGAAAAGGGTTAGACATGCATGAGGGTGTCATTCGGGTTTTTAGGGGGTTATAAGGGATTTGGGTATCAACTTTCACTTAACAACACGCGCATTCCCCTACGGACTTCGCGTAGCAGCATAGCCACCAAAGGCAAAGGCCGAAAAGAACGATGAGCACGAGCCAGGGTACGATATAGTACCATGGCAGACGGCGCCACCAATCCATGAAACGTTGATCTTAACAAGAAGCGTTTTTTGGGTATTCTATACCAATTTTCGTAAATTCTATCCGATTACGCGGTAGTAAATAAATTGGCGCGTTCCCCAGGAGACTTAAACCCCTGTTAAGTAGGCTGATAAGAGACTTAAAAGAAATGAGAGCTTTTTCTATACCCAAAAAAACTGAATATTTGATTGAGCTAATTCATATCGCAATTTTAACTGTTGTTTACAAGTTGTTTACTTTTTCTAAAGATTAAAGTTATTTAAATAAAGCTTCAAATATAGATGAAATTGAGACTAGTTTACAAAGATCTAAAAATTCATTTAATCGGATAGTCTTATAGATTTAAATCGAGATACCGGAGGTTAAATTTATAGGAAAAAAAATTAATTAATAACATTTTAAAAATCGATCAAATACCCCTAGAAATCGCCTACAAAACCCACCATCTGGCCAAACACCCATCACGAATAAAATCCAATTAGCAGTTGCTAGATATCAGGCGCTGCGGGGGGGTTGAGCCCGAGCCTGGGCTCAAGATGGCGGGTGGGGTGTGTCTCGCGAGAAGACGGCGCGCAAAAATGCTCTCTTTCTGCAGTCTCAGTCTCTCTCTCCCTCTCCCTCTCCCTCTCTCTCTCTCTCTCTCTCTCTCTCTCTCTCTCGCTTCCCAAATTTCCCCTCTTATCACCAGTCCTTCAACGCAACCCGCTGCCTCCATTCCACAAACATACAAACACAAGCTCACAACCATGTGTGTATGGGAGGCCGAGTTGTTTGCTAGGTAATTTTTGAGCACGAGAAAGAGATAATAGACTTGAAAATTAGAATTTATAAGAATCCGGGCTTCTATGTACCTTTAAAAGTTATTTTTCGGGGATTTTCAACATCAGGAAGCTGTTTTTCACTTCTCAAACTCCTTAAAACCTCTGGTTTTGAGGTTTACGTTATCTTAACAACTACAAACCCCTCCAAATTCCATACTTATTACGTTACTTTCTCCATATATACAACTATCCTCCCAGCTGCAGCCAATTCTTCCAATTTTTAGCGCGCGCCACTGACTAACTGCTCCCCCTTCACACCCCAGCCCCTGAATAGGCGCGAAAATACGGGAGGGGGTCTGGCGTCTCTCTCTCTCTCTCTCGCTCTCTCTCTCACTCTCTATCTCTCTCTCTCTACTACGATTTGTTTCATCCCCCTTGACAATTGGATTGCGATCATTTTTCCATCCTCCTCCTCCTCCCCCCAACTTGGCGGAGACCACACCCAACGCGCCTGTGTGGAGTATCAGCCTGATTTTGCACCCCCAAAAAAAATTATAAAAACTTAATGACCGCTAGGTATCAAAAAACCTAATTAAAAATTCCTTACCACGAAGACGTCCGACGAGGGGAGCACCAGTGATGTTCCACAGAGTGTAGATCTGAAAAACACCTTTTGAATTTGAGGGTGAGCCCCACCTCGTAGTTGTACTTCTTGCCCTTGGTGAGCGGGTAGTTGAGGTACCCTCCAATGACGGTACCATCACCAATGCGGACGGATTTGGGCTCCGGCAGGGTCTCCAGGTTGAACGAGGCTGCGACGTAGTACGGGATCTTGCGCTTGTGGGCGGTGACCTGATTTTGAGGCATGAAATTTAAGGTAATTCTCATACCTTGTCGGTCAGCTCGGTCCAGTTGGTGTCACCGGGAGGGTCACGCTCATCGACAATCACGAAGTAACGACTGGAAATATTAAGTTAAAGAAAAAAACGTAAAAATTACGTGATGTTGGTGTCGGTTGGTGATGGGGCAATTTCCATAAAGTCGAAGGTATCTGGGGCACCGATGTTGTCAACGTAGTATGGTGGTGGGACGATGCAGCAGCTACTGTAATGGAATCTTATTCGGTACTCGACTCTTAGCGGGGGGTTACTGGATATTTTAATTTTAAGCCAAATGGTTGTTTTTTCGCCTTTACCTGTCAACGATCCATAAAACATTTTTAAAGTGTTTTTAGTAGTTTTAATAACTAGAAAGCTTTGCAAATTTTTTAAGGACTTTAAAAATTAGATATTTTAAGCTTATCTGGGCCATTTTACATCCATTTTTAATCGAAAAGTCAACATTTACAAAAATTCCGGCATTTTGTGTGAATTTTGATACCTAAAAACCGTATAAAATACCATGCAATGGTTTATATTGCTTTGGATTAGTAAGCTAGAAAGCTATAGACATTTTTTTAAGATTTAAGACATAAGATTTTTTAAGATTTTTTTTAAGCTTATCCTGGTCATATTTCATCCATTTTTGATCAAAACCAAAAATTTTGAGTTCATTTTGTAAGTTTAAATGAATTCCTATACCCTAAAAACCATATAAAATACCATAAAATAAAATATATTTTGGTATTGGACTTAATATACAATACTTACGCCTTGATATGAGGTGGCTCGCTAACAACCAATCGCCCAGCCGACTTCCAATGGTTCCATTGTCCCTCTACCATAGCACGGACTTGGAAGACATATTCGTCAGGCTTATGCGGCAGGTTGAACACCAAATAGCACAACCTTCCGCAACCATCCTTAGGACAGAGCAGCTCCTTGGCCTCCCGTTCAGCCTCTTCTTGCCAGACACCGTCGTGCTCCTTGAGGCGAAGGTATCTGACTTGGTAGTGCGAGGCCATGTTGTCGACGATCGGCTCCCAGCTCATTGAGACGGCAAAGTCGGTCTTGTCGCACTGCTTGAGGTTCTTGACGAGGAACCAGCCGGGTGGTAGGGTGGACCAGGCTCCCCATGCTCCTTCGGCATGATCTTTAGGCTGAAGGGTACAGTTGTAGGTGGTGGACGGGTTCAGGTTTTTGACGGTGTACTGGGTGGCGGTTGATTCGACTTGGAACGACTTGGTCTCGTGCCGACGGACGTTGTGGTACACGGAAGCGATGGTGAAGCAGGAGAGCTGAAAAAGGTGTTGTAAAACCCTACATGTCATGATTTAAATCTGCAATTATAACACTTAATAGGTTTTTAGATACTTTATCGAGAGGCGTAGAATCATTTTAGCAAAAATATCAAAAAATGTCGAAAACTAGCTTTAAATGTGGTTTGGTAATAGCCTTAAACTTTTATTTTTGCTAGCTATTCTATATTAGAGTAATTTGAGGTGGAACTAACACTCTACATAATTTTTAATGCTGCATCGAACGGTGCAAATGAAATTTGATAAAAATATCGAAAACGTCGAAAAATGTCGATTTTGGGCTAAAATAAAATTGGTCTTAAAAAGTACTTTTAATTTAATGAATCACTATATTTACCCTTATTATATCGAGCTATATTTCCGTACCGTGTATCCACGATGGTTCGTTCCCCAAACCGGATCCCATTCCAGCGTCAGCGTCGTTGGTGTTCTATTCTGGAGGCGCAGAATGTGACGCTGGCCAGGTGCCAATGTCGAGTACGTTCCCCAAAGGATCTAAAAAATTCAATAATTACCTAAATACCCTAATTTTGAATACCTGTCCATATCCGCTGCTCGTAGCGGCCTGCACGGTGATGTTGTAAATAGTCTCCGGCGTCAATCCCTCGAATTTGATCGAGTTTCCTGGGACCAAAACGGTGTAATTCTTTGGCGTGCCAGCGACCCCGGTGCGTTCATCAACACGGGCGATGGTGACCCTGTAGTGGGTGATGAGGTCCTTCTTCTCTGGGTCCCAGATCTCTGGCGGTACCCAGTCGACGTGAAGCATGGTATCGCTCTTCTCAATCAAGTGCAAGTCGGTTGGAGCTGGCAACCAGGTGAGGAGACCATCGCCAAAGTCCGTCGTCGAGAAGACTCCGGAGATGAACCACAGCTTCCGGTCGGAATCGCGGCCCTGCACGGTGAGATTGTACAGGGTGACCTTGTCGAGGCTGCGGAAGTGGTAGTCAGTTTGGCGGCCATTGACGGTGTATTTGGTCGGGTTTTCATCGAGTTCGGAGGCGACGGAGATGTAGACGTCGTATTCCTGGATCTTCTCCCCGATGAAGCCGGGCGGGGACCATTGGACCTTGAGGTTGTCATGGCCGGCGGAGAGGAGTTTGATGGAGCCTCCGAGGGTTTCATTTCCATCCTTGCGGGTGGTTGAGAAGTAGTCAGGTGACCATTCGCCCCAGTTTCCGGAAGCGGATTGGCCTTGGACAGCGATCCTGAAAAAGGTAATGTTATTGTATTAATATCCAAGTATTACTTAAATTCCTCGAATTTTTCCGTATTTTTGCCGAATTTAAAACCCTTATCAATATTTCAGCGCACTAATGGGAGCCTTAGCTGCTCGCGGAGTGACAACGCGTGACCTCAGGCTATGTTTTACGCGGGAAGGAAACTATGGAAGCTCGTGCTCAATCCGCTTCTTTACTCGCCCTCAAGCTCCCCTAAAACGCTTACTTGTAGGTAGTGTAGGAGTGAAGTCCCTTGAGGGTAGCGCACAAGCTGTCAGATGTGATGAGCGTGCTCTTGTAGGGAGAGCACGACAGCTCGTCTCCGCTGACCTCAACCTCGGTCGGGTTGCTGTCGTCGGCACGCGGGCTGAAAATTGGATTTTAATGGATTTTTTCACCTGAAATTCCATACCTGTACTTGATACGGTACACATTAACAATAGCCTTCTCCGGGTACGGCGGCAACCAAGTCAGATGAATTTGAGAAGTTGTCGTCTGGATCGCAGACAACTCGCGAGGTGGCCCAAGCTCCGATCCAGTTGTACGGATCTCCAAAGGCTCAGACCAAGGTCCAGGGCCCTTTGACGTGTAAGCGCGAACCTTCATACGATACAAACTTCCCGGCATCAACTGATCAATGACAGCTGTAGGACGAGGAGTGATACTTTCACGATCTCCCTCATTCCACTCATCCAATCCAGAGAGAATATATTCATATTGGGTAACGTTTCCGTTTTGGTGGATGCATTCTGGGGCCTCCCACTTGAAGCCGAGCTCAGTATCCTTGCGCACGGTGTTTTGCAGATTTTGTGGAGCGCCAGTCGGAACATCGGCCTCGGTCTTGAAGGTACGAACGGTCTTGGGTGGGACGATGGAGGATGCAAGGCTTGGAGGACGACGAGGAGTGACGATGACTTCATACACACTTCCGGGCTGGAGGTCCGAGAGGAGCAGTTGCTTCTCCTGGACGTTGAGGCGAGTGATGGGCTCGTGGTTTCCGGTGGCACTCTCGGTGCAGCCGCCAAGCTGCTTGAGCTTGTAGGTGATGTCGACACCGTAGTTCCAGCCTTGGTCTTTATCCGATAGATCCCAGTCGAGTTGGGCGGTGGTTGGGGTCTTGGGAGTGACGGTGACAAAGATTTCTCCGGGGAGTGATTGGATGGTGATGGAGACCTTGTCGGACCATTTTGAGGTCTGGGGTTTGTCCTCCTTGGTGCGGGTTTGCATCTTGATGTCCCACTTGGTTCCAGGCATTGTCGGGAGGATGAGCTCGGATGGGGCATCGGTGTCGATGACGATTTGTCCCTAAAATAGATGTTTAGTATTTTCTAGGCAAATAAGACAAAGCAAAAAATCCCAAAAATGCAAAAAGTTACGGTAAAATATGCAAAATTGTCATAATTATTGTTTTAATTTTCCTTAAGTGCTCAAATAAAGTTTTTAATTATAAAACCGTAGCGGTTTGTCCCTAACAAATTTTAAGTATTTTCTACTTAAATCCGAAGCAAAAAAGACCCAAGAATGCAAAAGGTCAGGGTAAAACGTGTAAAATTACCATCATAGATTATCTAATTTTTCATAGATGCTAAGAGAGTTTTTAATTAGGAAACAATAGAGAATTAAAATTAATTTTAGTATTTCCTACTCAATTTTCCACAATCCCAAGCAAAAAATCCGAAAAAATGCAAAAAGCGCAGTAAAATAATCACCAAGATCATTATCTGAATTTTCTCTAGGTTCTAGAATAAATTATCTAATTTTAGAAAAACCAACCTTTCCGGTATTGTTGACGTAATCGATAACAAACTCGACATCACTGCAGAGCCAGCTATCCTCACCAGGCGCATCCCAAGTAATCTTCAACGTCTGGAAGTCAACAGCATGGAGCTTCACATTGCTTGGTGGCTCCTCCGGCTTTCCGCAGCTAGTCATAGCCTTGGTTTCAGGCCCCGGCGCACCGCGCTTATCGTTCTTTCCAACAACCTTCAACCGGAAGTAGTAGGTGGTCGATGGCGTCAAATCGCGCACGGTGATCTTGTATTCATTCTGGGTCTTGCGATGACGAGTGACACCGTTGTATTCGGTCCAATCTTGGTCATCTTCAGACTTAAATTCAAGCGCATAGCCGACGACGTGGGCGGATTGTTCAGCGGATAGTCCCTCCCATTTGAGGGAGATCGACACGGGCTTGGTTTCGGTGACCTCAAGCTCGCGCTCGAGGACCGGGATATTTTGCTCGTGTGTCTTGGCAGTGATGGAAGACGACCAGTCGGACCAGCCACCTCCTTCAGTATGAGCAGCAACTTGGATGTCGTACTCCTGCTCTGGCTCGAGGTCGGACAGACGGTAGCAGAGTCTGTCTCTCTTGTTGGCGCTGGAGCAAGTGAGGCGGTCGGTGGGGATTCGGATCTAAGACAAAATGAGCATGAGCTTGCTGAGTTTGGTTACCTCCTTGTAGTTGCTCTCGCCATGAGGAGTGTATCGGACTTTGTATTGATCGAGGAATCCGTGAGGAGGTGTTGGCGGGAGGAAGGATATTTCGATGGCATGTGGGAATGTGCCTTCTTCTTGGAGATCTCCAGGTGGTGGAGGAGCAGCAGATTGAGTGGTGAAAGACACCCATTCGCTAAAAATACGGTAATATGAATTTAAGGTAAGTTACATGCCTGTAAGGTCCAGCTCCTTGGGAATTCAGGGCGCGGACACGGAATCGGTATTCCGTGTACGGGGTCAGCTTGTCGAAGGTGACACGCTCGGAACGGCTGCTGCCTAAAAATCATGAATTAAATAAGTTCAAAATAGTAATTAGAATCATGCAGACTTTTTAAAGATCCGATTTAATAGGGTTTTTTGAGATTTTTGAGAATTTAGAGGTTATTCAGGGGTTTTTTCGGGGTCCGGCTTTACCAGTTGCGTTTTCGGCCAAATCATAATCCTCTTCTTGGACGACTTCGGTGGCAATACCTGTTTTTAGAGCGTAATTATTGTATTTTGTAATGTATTTTGTAGCACAAAATAAAACCGTTTTGCGCTTTAATGATATAACAATGAATTTTCACTTACCAGTGTTGTTGTCAGCCCATTCATCGACAGCCTCGAGCTCATACTCGTAGTCGGTGATCTTGCCGTGGCGTTTCTCGCATTCCGGTTGTTGCCACATGGCGTCAGCACTATAAAAATGGGTAATTTACATCTGTAAACTGATGTATTTTCTAATTAATGATTAAAAAATTACAATTTTTAACTACCGTTTTATTACGGTTTTACAAGTTTAATAAGTGGACGATAGCCCAAAACACCTACCGTGTAGCCGTCACAGAACCAATTCTGACATTCAGCGGCTCTCCAGATGGCTCGGCTTCTTCGGTCGTGAAAGTGACGGTCTGGGATGTTGGTCCAGCCAACGAAGTGTGGGCGATGACTTGCACCTCGTAGGTGGAGTCCGGAAGTAGACCATCGATGGTCTGTAAACTCTTGCTCAAAAGCTCAAGCTCCTCTCACCTGCTCCTCGCTCCTAACGTGCTTCTCGATGGGGTTGCTAGATCTGGGGCCACACTGGCCGATCGATTTCAGCCTGTAGATCAGGGTATATCCGGTGATGACACCATTTGGTTGCTGTGGTGGCTTCCAGGTTACGGTAGCCGTGGTGGGACCTAGAAATCAGGGATTTTAAAGGGTATGTGAAGACTAAAGGGACATGGACAGACAGCAGGGTTTTTGGGTTTTCTTACGTTCCGATTTTTCAATGGGCCCTTTTTGAAGGGGTCGGATTAGGGGTTGGATTAGTATAGGGTCTTCTTAAAAATTGTTAGTATGAATTTTTGTCGCGTTAAGATACCATCAGGCGTAGCTGTCAAATCGGTGATGGCGCCTGGGGCGCCTTCAGCAGTAGTGACCTCAAGGTCCTGGAAATTAAGGTATGAAGTACCCACTTAAGATATGATTTTATACCTTGCTCCACTCCGATTCCCCAGCATCATTGATCGTCTTGATGCTGACGGTCCAGTGGGTGTTGGGCTGGGAGTCGAAAATCTTGTCGATGTGGGAGAATGGCACTTCGAGCTCTTGGCGCCCGTTGGTGCCGTTGATGTACTGGATGCGGTAGCGGATCGAGGAGCATTGCCAGGATCCCTTGAGCGGGGCTTGCCACGAGAAGCGCACCTGAAAAATATAGATAATTAGCTTTTTTGATACTAAATAAAATATCAATAATATAATTAAACTAAATATGTAGAATTTTTACTTGTTTGTTAGATGGCGAGGCAATGGCAACATTGGCTGGTGGGGAAGATGGTGCAGCACATCCGGTACGGCCTTGGCCTTCAGGAGAAGCATCAGATACACGCTGTTTCTTGTCGACAACCTAGATACATTATTTTTATTGGAAGCCAGAGATATCATACCTTGATACGAACAAAATACAACGTATCCGGGTCCAATCCGGTGACCTTCTTGAGATACGTCCTCTTGACGTTGTCGTGGTCGGTCTGTCCACCAATCTCGGTCCACGCCGGGTTTTCAGCGTTTCTGATCTCGATGATGTAGGCCTTGACGCGGTCCTTGGTATCTTGAACTCCATTCCATTGGACATCAAGGGCATTGGCTCCATCAGGAGTGACAATTGGAGCTCCGATGACGGCCGGGATGTTGAAGGGATCGGTGGCGTAAGTGGTGAAGATTTCGGATCCGAAGCCACGCTTGGTGCCGGCAGCTGAAAATAGGGTACAATCTTAGCTTAAAAAGCTAGAATTACCAATGGAGATGTTGTAGTTGGTCTCCGGGTTCAAGTTGTCGAACAGGTACGTCAGCGTCGGGTGGTCGACCATGAAAGTGCGCTTCTTGTCGTTGGCGTCATCAAGGGAAACGATCGAGACGCGGTATTGCGTGATGTGTCCTACAAGGAAAATTATTTTTAGGGTTATATAGCATAAAACTAAGGCAACTCCCAGGGACAATAACTTAGAATTCTTAAAACATAAAATTTCGGGGTATGGGTAAGGATAGTCAAAGAGGTGTGTACGGAAACACTCGGCTGTACGCGGCTGGTGGGGGCACCTTTTCGATGGGTTCTATCCCTGCCTAAACATCCTAAATAAGAATCGGATTTAGAAAATGGATGGGGAATTTTTAACTGGATTTTTAAGATTTTACAGAAAAATTTGGAGAATCTTTCGAGCTATGAACTTACCCTTGGGGTCAACCGGTGGGATCCAGCGGATGTGAAGCGAGTGATCGGTCTTCTCGATGAGATGGATCGCACGAGGAGCATCAGGGAGGACTTGGAGTGTGTTGGCAATGACAACACTGCTCCATGGTCCGTAGTTCCCTCCCTCGATGTGGCAAGAGACTTGGACTCGGTATTGCTGTCCGGGCTCCTTGTCTAAAAAGCATCTGTTATAAAATACCAATCTACAAAAAGCTATTAAAACAATGGCACTTAAAACATACCAGTGACGTTGAAGCAGAATCGAGGGCTCTCTGCCGGACACTTCAGCAGCGGGCTCTTGATCGGCTGCTCCACAGTCTCCCATCCGTCAGTTCCAAGTAGCTGATGACGGATCTTGTAGGCGTCATGCGGGCCATATGGTGGGTACGGCGGCAACCACGAAACCATGAAGAAGTCGGTACCCTCTTGGGCAACAACCAAATCCTGGGGTGGCAGCGGAGCATCGGCCTTTGCGGTCATGACGTCAAGGTTCTCGGTGTTAGGACTGCCTCCAATCGAGTTGTAAGCGCGAACTCGCATGACGTATTTGGTGAATGGTGTCAGGCCATCGATCGTGATCTTGGTATCGGAGGAGTTGGCAATCTGGCGCTCGAGCTTGGCCCAATCGTCTTGGCCGATGATCTCGTATTCGTAGTTGGTGATGTGGCCGTGACGCTGCGAGCAATCAACTGGCTCCCATTGGAAGGACAGCGAGCGCTCGAGGGCGTAGGTAAGCTCGAGGTTGAGTGGAGGAGCAGATGGGGATTGTTGCTCGGTCGACACCTCCTTGGTCTCCTCAGGTCCGAGTTCCGTGGTTCTGGCACGGACCTTGACTTCGTACAAAGAGTACGGTAGCAGGCCAGTGAGGGTGTAGTCCAGGTCCTTGTGGTTGTAGATGGTGACGTAGTCTCGGGAGACATCGCGGGGCTCTTCTTCAGGACAAGCCAAACGATGCTTGAGGCGGTAGGAAATGTCGTAGCCGACGATAGTACCACGCTGGACAAGTGGTGGCAGCCATTGGACATGGACTTCATTGGGAGAAAGAGCATTGAGGCGCAAGTCCCGAACAGCTCCAGGGGCACCTTGACGGGTGGTGATCGATTGTTCTGGAGACCATCCTGAGGCTCCGACCTGGTTGGTGGCACGGAGCTTGACAACCCAGCGCTGGTTTGGCTCGGCAGGGAATTTGTAGTCGGTCTGGTCACCGGGGACAACAACAGTCTTAGGCGGGCCGCCTCCGACGCTGTAGCTGATCTCGATGTTGAGATGGTCGCACTGCCACTGATCGCGGGCCGGTCGAGACCAGCTGACACGAACTTCATTGGTGGATGGGGCGTCAAGACGAACACCCTGGGGTGGCTGTGATGGTGGCTGGCACTTGGTCCTTCCACGAACTTCGGGCGATGGGGCAGATTGTTCATTTTGGGCCGAAACAACGCGGACACGTAGGTCAACAACGCTGTTGGTTGGCAGGCCATCGACGGTGGCAGTGTAGGTGGTCTGTGATGGGTTTCCAGGAACACGGCGAGGGTATTGTTGCCAAGCTCCATTCTCCAGACGGTATTCAACTATGTATCCAGAAGCCTCGCGGGAGTTCGAGTTCCATTCGATGGTAATGGAAGTGGCTTCTTCGGCGATAATCCTAGGAGCAACAGACAGAGCCTGAAGCTGAGCAGCATCGGTGCTCATCGTGGCCGAAGTTCCGACGCAGCATTCCTTTTGGGTGCAGGCCTGGACGCTGACATTGTAGGCGGTTCTGGGGCGGAGGGTGTCGATGCGGTAGTTGAACGTCCTGGAGTCCACGGTGAAAGTCATCGGGCGGTCCGAGCGGTCGAGGGGCTCAACATAAAGGCGGAATCCGGTGACACGAGGGATATCTTCCTGTGCGACTTCCCAACGGATGGAGAGGGAACGGTCAGTGCTGCCGGTCTTGGTGACAGACTGCACCTTTACAGGACCATCGGAGATGCGAGCACGAGCCGAGTCAGTGTAGGCGGAGCACTTCCTCTGTTGGCAGGCCTGGACCTTGAAGTCGTAGGTCTGCTCCTTCTCCAGGTTGTCGATGCGACCGCATTGGTATTGCGATCCTTGTGGAGTCGGTGGCAGATTCTGCCGACGGAGGAGGTTGGGGTCACAAGGAGAGTAGGCGGGAAATTCGGCCTCCTTTGGTGGTGCCTGCGGAGGAGTTCTTGGCTTGTACTGGCACTTGTAACGATCGACACGGTTCTCGCGAGCATCCTGTGGTGATTGCCAGAGGATGTGCGCATTGTCGGCTCCAGCATCGATGACGGAGATATGAGGCGGGGCTTGGACAATGGTTTGGCCAGTGGTTTGGAGGGCAACTTCCGTTGACCATGGGCCAGCACCGCGAGCGGTGTAGGCGCGGACTTTGGCGTTGTAGCGAGTGTTCGGCTGCAGGTTGGTGATCTGTGCGCGAGTTCCGCGGACATTGTTGGTGGTCTTCTGGACGTGAGTCCGGCGGTCGGCGGGGCTGACCTCGTACTCGTACTCGGTGATCTCGCCGTTGGTCTGGAGGCAGGCGGGGGCTTGCCACGAGATTTGGGCCGAGTCTTGTTGGGCAGAATCGACACGCAGGTAGTTGGGAGCGGAGGTGGGAGTGGACTGCTCGGTGGCGACTTCTTGGGAGACACGTTCTCCAGCGATGGTAGTACGGGCAGCGACTCCGATACGGTATCTAAGGCAATTTATATGAATTAGGGATTGTTTCTTACTTGGAGTGAGGGTGGAGGTTGCGGAGTACGAAGTAGGGTTGGGTAGTTTGCTCGGTTCTTGGAGCCTCACGGACCTGAAAACAAAAACTTAAGGAACTAGCAAAATTTTCTACCTCCTCGCACATTCCACGATTTGTCAGTTGGTAGGTGATCTCGTAGGACGTGATCTGGCCGTTCGGGTTGACAGGTGGTCGCCAGCTGACCTGTAAGAAAAAAGTTTAGCTTGAGCTCTAAAAAGTAACTACCTGGACAGAGTCAGGTCCCAGTGGTTGAATCCTCAAATCCGAGACAGGTCCCGGAGCAGCAGCTTGAGTCTGGGCAGCTTCAGCGCGCGACCAATCGGTCTCACCACCAGGGTTGGCCGCCTGTATTTCGAAGCGCCATTGCGTGTACGGGTCAGACTCGAAGAGCACGGAGTCCTCTCCTTGGGTCAGATTCTTGAAGCCCTGGTTGCGAGCCGTGGAGTACTTGACGATGTACCAGACACGGTCGCAGTTCCATTCGTGTTCAGGGAGTGGCACCCAAGTCAGCTTGATCTGGGTGGGTCCAACAGGTTGGACCTGGATTCCGGTGGGAGGACGAGTGGGCTTCCTGCATGATTGGGAGCTCTGAACAGAGACGGCAGCAGATGTGAAGGTGGTTTCACCACGAGGTCCCTTGGCGACAACGCGGCATTGGTAGTTGTTGCCCTTCGGAAGACCGCTAAGGTCAACCTGGTAGCCGCGCTGACTTCCAGAGAATGGGATCTGGTTTCCATGGTGGCGCCACTGCTCATCCCGATCGGACTTCCATTCAACGACATAGCTGTGGACGGTGGTCGAATCGACACCTTCCTTGCTCTGCCACGAGAGGATTGGGGCTCCTTGTCGGTATTGCACATTCGGTCCAACAATGAGTTCTCCGCCAGCAGGGGTGCGGACAGAGGAAGCTGGCGTCCAGGCGGAGTGGCCGGCCGAGTTCTTGGCGCGGATCTTGACGGACCACTTCTCGTTGGGGCGGGACTGGAAGACGTGGGTGGTCTGTCCTCCAGGGACCAGGACTGGGGCTTGGCCGAAGGGTTCCTCGGCTTGGATCTCGAACTGGAGGTCGGCACATCCCCAGGTGCTCTGCGGTGGGTGGGCCCAGGAGACACGGACGTGGCTGGCATCTGGGGCAGAGACGGTGAGGTGGGATGGGGCGTGGGTTGGGGGACGGCATTCGGAGGTGGCGGAAGCTTCCGGGGATGTGTACATTACATAGGAGTTGCGGTCGAGCACCTAAATTAAAGATATATTAGTTATATATTCTTTAATTATGCTTATTGTTAATTCCTAGTGTGCAACCGATTTGATTACCTGGATGTGGATGTAGTAGGTGTGTCCTTGTTGAAGTCCCGTGAGAACTTGTTGATATTCAGCGCCATCGCCGGTGTAGGGGACGATTTGGCTGGAATTTGGTAATAACTTTTCTATACTAAAGTACCAACCCATAGGGATTCCATCCCGACTGATCGGTCCTGAACTGAACGCGATATCCGAAAATTCCGCGTCCCTCTCCCTCGCTCCTCCATCCGACATGCAGATCATTTCCACGAGTGGTAACTCGAGGAGTAGAGACCAGAGCTAAAAATTTTGAGTTATTTTTGAAGGGTAGATCAATTTTGCGCATGCGAGAGCTTTTCGTTAGCCTCGAACTTGACACACCACACAGAAACGGTTGGGTTAGAAGAACGGAAAACAGGGCATAGACACGACGGAAACGAAGAAGTATGGCTGCGGCGTACAGGCTAGTTTTGTTAATGGGTTGGCTATAGGGCGTATCTATAATTAGATACTTTTCAAAATCGGGGTAGGGCAACAGAAAAAAAAACAGAATGTTTTTTAGGGTAGGGGTAGGGGCAGAGGCAACGGCATTCCAGGCGTATTTGCATAGCCTCTGGGCTCCACCTTGGCCTCCAGCCCGATCGGCATGTTGGGATTCGAAGCCGGTGCACCAGAAGTCTCGGCTTGGGTCACAGATGCTACGCTTCAGCCGGTGGCTGTGCTCCGATGCTAAATGTTGTACATCTAGGGTCCCGGGGGAAATTTTTGGGCCGGTATACAAGTACCAAATATACCAAAAAATATATACCCAAATAGGTATCGATTTTCTAAGAGTGTGTAGACATCGAAACAAATTGACCGGGACGACACATGGGTTTTTAAAGGGATTGGATAGCTAAAAATCTAAGGTGGTTTTTCGGTTTTTCGACTTCACAATCCCTTTAAAGTGAGGTTTCTAGACTTACGAGATACTGTACGATTACTTGGGTGTACGGTACGGGTTTTGGATTTGAGAAACTTACATTGACGAGCGTTGGAAAGTTGAACGGGACGAGAAGCGGAGCCACTTCCGGCTTGGTTTGAAGCACGGATCTAAGAGATGATTTGTAGCTCGTGGTTATAGCCTGAAGCCTCTACCTCAAGGTGGATGGACGAAGGAGAAGCGTGGATATCATAGTGGCGCTCAGAGACCGGGACTTGGTAGTTGACGGCCTGCCCATCGACGGTTCCGGTGATGTAGAAGACGCCTCCACAGCTCGACTCCTCTTGGGGAGCATTCCAGGAGATGCGCACCAGGTTGTCGGAGACGCGGTCAAGGCGCACATTCTCGGGAGCAAGAGGTGCTAAAACGGCTTTAAAGGGAGAGTGACACCATACCTTGGCACTGGACTTGGAAGGAAGTAGACGGCGAGGTGCCGACGGTCTTTCCATTGTTGTCAAGGGCTCGGACTCGAACGTAGTGCAGGGAGGAGGAAAGGGCTCCGAGTTGTTGACTAAATTTAAGAAAATAAAAATCATATAAAAATCCATACCGGAAATGCTTCTGGGAGGGGTCGTTGGGAACTGCGGCTCCGGCGGGCTTCCAGTTGTCGCTGTGGCCTCGGATTTCCGGCTAAGAAGTTATGTAAACCGATAGCATTAAAATTTCCTATGTTTATATCGATTAAGGCATATATAAAATGAAATTACCTGGTAGGAAGCGACCTTGGCCGTATCGCCATCAACCGTCCAGTAAACCGTACTCCTCTGGCCCTGGGTCTCAATTCTTGGCTGCTCGATCTGGATCCCCTCCTTCGAGGCGTGCTTGGAGAGCACTAAAAAATATATTAAATAAAATTAAAGCTTTTTAAAACATCTTAAATACTTCAGATTAATATAATGTTGGTTAATACACGCCAAAACTGTTAGCAAAACCTGGTAGTAGCACCAATTGAGCCGTCGATTTGATCTCGAATCGTTGGACGACGGAGAATCCCTTTTGGAGGATGGCCTCCAGGGCCACAGTTATCGTGGGCCCAGGGCTGGCCATTGGCCCTCCGGTCCTGGGAAGCGGAAGTACGAAAGAATCCGCTTCTCGTCCCAACGAGACGATTCTAACTCGTCCGTGCCCATCAAAAATACTCATCTAAAATGTTAAGTTCAGGGCTTAGGGCCCAAAAACCTGATAAGAATCGATAGGTTGGGTGAAGTGGGGTTTCCAGTGGAGTTCAACATTGTGCTCATCAACCGGTTGGGCAACGATTAGAAACGGTTCTTCTTCGGGTGAGTCTGTTAGATGGAGTTTTTTTGATTAAAATGAGGGTCTACCAAGATCGACAAGTTGAAATGTTATGGAAGCCCCTCGCGGGACTCCGACACCATTTGTTAGATTGTAAGTTACCTAAAGAAATGGAAAAATTAAGGGTTAAGTATTACTGTGGCCTGATAGTTGATTCTATATATAAATCGATCAAGGCGATGGCAATAATCCTCAGGGTCGGCGACGCCTCTTGGGCACCGAAAGGTATCGGGCTTTTCGAGGATTCGAGTCCATTTCGTAGACGATTCCTCTTTATAGGCTAGTCTATAGTGATATTAGGTCTATAGGGGTTGTGCGAAATACTTGAATGCATGGATGAGACCCTGGTGCATTGGTAGTGGTGTCCAGACGAGGAAATTATTTGGAGGGGCCAGGACGAGCCGCAGTTTATAGATATTTGTTAGGTCGCGGATTAGGTGTTTCGATTGGCGTTTCACACGCGATTCCAGTTCTGTAAGTTATTGTTAGAACACACGAGTGGGTTAATAGAAGTTGTAAAAATGGCTTTATCTAAATTCTTTGGAATTTGATATGTTAATTAGCCATTTTTGCAACTACTTAATGAATTAAGGACCCAAAATATTACTTTTCAATTCCCCGCTAGCCGATGTCGTAAATTCAACGGGTCCACTCCAGGTACTATGCCCATTTCCAGAACGGGATCGCACCTATTAATGCATTAAAGAGAAATTTTAGAGACAGTCCACCTTGAAACTGTATTTAGTACTGGGGAGTAGGGTATCAACGGAGACAGTCGTCGCCCCGACGTATGAGGCGCCATCTGGAGGGGCGGCTTGAGACGATTCCCAGATCAGATATTCATATCCGTCGATGGGGGCGATCGACTCGTCGCATTCCGGCTTTTCCCATTCGAGCTTGGCGGCTTCTCCTCCGATTGCGACGAGGTGGGCCTTCCGGGGGACACCACCACGTCCAATGCACGCGCCTGAATCGTTAGAATTTTTGGGAGGAGGATTATAACATTCCTGGGATAGGATGCAAAGTCATGCCATTAATGACGTAATCGTTAAAAATCTATACCTTCAGCAGCGTGTCCAACGGTCAGCTCTTCAGTGATGGCAACAGCTTCATTCGACTCATCGACGGCAATGATTCTGATGGCATAGAAGGGGACGTCGATAAGGTTGGAAAGAGTAGCGGAGTAATCTCCGACAGATCCATCGAAGGCTTGTTCATCTCCTCGTTGCCACTGGTTCTCGCTGGGGAGGCGGTACTCGACGATAAAGCGGGTCACCGGGGTAGCGGTAACCGGCGGTACAGTCCAGTGTACGGTAGCGACACCGTCGGCCTCTTCAACGACTTGCGGCTTCTCCGTCCATTTCGCCGCCGAATCGTCAGCGGTTTGGGCGGTGATGCTGTAGGTCTAAAATAATAAAATAACTAATAGATAATTTTTTCTATACCTGCTTGGGCTCGTGGTCAACCAACGCGACGACACCGATGACATACTTGGTGTCGGGCTTGAGACCGGAGAAGAGGTGGGATGCCTGGGCCGGGGAGATTCGAACGCGTTCGACTTGACGGGAGTCTGCGCCCTGTTCGACGGCCATAACCTGTAAAAAATATTAGATAAGAAAGCGTAGATAGGTGCACCTCGTAGTGTTGGAGGCGTTCATCATCGTAGTGTAGCCATGTGACACGGATTTGGGAATCAGTGCGGTAGTCGATGTGGATGGCTTCGTTGGCGGCGACAGCTGAGCCCTTGGTTTGGGCCTCGAGGATCTCGGAGCTCCAGGGTCCGGTGGAACGGGACGAGCGGTCAGAAGCGCGCACCCTGGAAGGTGATATTAAAGGCGTGTTAACATCAGAATTTTCAGAATTTGAAGTAGATACAAGCTAAAAATTAATTCGTCAAGTCCTTACTTGATAGCATAAAGTGTTCCGGGCAGAAGGTTGGTGATCGAGACGTATGGCTGGACGACCGTCTGACGATGCACGTCGAAAGACGCATTTCCGAGCCCGGATACTTCCACCTGAAGCTTGGCTCAAGCTATGGAGTAGGTAATCCCACTTGATAATCTCCAATCGATCCACATTCCGGCACATCCCATCGTAGAGCCAACGAGAAGCGACCAGCTTGCGTGATCTCGACGCTTCTCGGTTCGGAGACATCGTCTAAAAATTCAGATTCTAATCGTTTTTTACCCTTATCGCAAGCAAAGAAAACGAAAGCTTTGTTTTTTTAAGGGACGCTGTTACCCATAGATCAAAGAAACCCATTCCATTTCAAATCCCAGTGATTCCCATTTCTCCAGGCGGAATAGCGTTTTGAAGCCCCCGAAAAGGGTTAGACTTTCACTATCTATCTTTCGTCCTCCCCTCCTTCTCCCCCTCTTCCTCCCCCAACAAGGCGTGAGCCATCCATTTCATTTGCATCGCTGCGGGACAAATTGCGGTTGGTGCTCCCCGTGTGCGGTCCCGGCGCGCGTTTTGCCACCGGGCGCGCGCAACAGACAAATCACATATGATATGGCTTGACACGACTAGGGGGGGAGGAGGCCGGAACGTGATCCTGTTCTTCGATTTTTGAGGGGAGGGCGGAATATGGATTATCACCTTTTGATTGATTGGGAATATGGGGGGAAATTAAAGGGATTTGGAAGGCTGGAATCGAGCGGTTTATTGTAAAATTGGTAAAAAATCGTTTTCCGCAGTTTTCAAAATTCAAAATGGTCAAAATTCAGCGATTTTAGCAAACATCGCTAGGAAAAAAATCGTTCAAAATCGTTTTAAAGGTGCTCTGACAGCTAACTGATCCAAAAATTGTCGCTAAAGGGACACACAGGGCAAGGCAGGGCTACAGATTTTGCGTCGAACGCCAGGAGCTTTAATACATTAGGCAATGAAAAAGCCGGCGAATGCGGAAACGGCAAATTCAATAAAAAAAATCGATAGCTGCGTTTTTCCATTCCTTTTTTAAAGTGTTTTGGCATAGATTACAGCATATAAGGGTTTTTAAACATTTTCAAGCTTTTTAAGCGACAGTTACATCCATCAAATTAGCCCAAAATATTCAATTCCAACCCAGTAAAAAGATCCTCCCAAAAAGCCAAACAAAAAATTAATCAGAAACCACCCGCTTTACCCCCCAAGCAAAAGAAAAAAATGAGGGATAGCAGCAACCACGCCTAGTTCTCGCTACGGTTTGGGCCCACTTTGAAGGCACAATTTGAAGGATCGTGGTGGGGGGATCAGCTCCACTTCCGAGAGCTCCTCATCCACTTCGTAAATGTTAAAACAATGTAGCGGGTGCCCTGCGGATTTCCGGGGGAGTACATGGGCTACAAATGACGAACCGGTATCACACTTGATGGAGACCATCTCGTTGCGGGCTCGGATCTCGGGCGTTTCGACGAGAACATTTCCGGCTGCGTCGAGGACCTAGAAAAATGTTATATTTAAGACATATAAATATACTATATATACTAAAAGGTACGTCGCAATACTCAGGCGCAAAACGCTTGAACGCCTTGAACGTGTCGTAATAAAAAACCAGCGTTTTCGTCGCGTGTCACAACCGAATTTTAAGCGAAATCCTAGTCGAAAAATCCATAATTTTGCCTTCCACGCCCCTTTAAAAATATTAACGACTTATATATGAAGCATATTAACTTACCTTAATCCTGACAAAGTAGGAAATACCCATCGGAAGTCGTGGGATCTAAAATTTTCTGTAAAAACTTTCTCCAAATCGCTACTTGAACGCGGTACTGGTGATTGGGACCCTTGTATGGGATGATGCCGGCATGCACGACCCAGGAATTGTCATTTTCGGGCCGGTATTCGACGAGGAATCCTAGAAATTGTGGTGTTTTCGCTTTAAGGTATGGGGCGATACCTTGGATATCCCTCTCGGGATGTTCTCCCGTCTGAATGCCTTCCCATTCGACCGTGAGCAGCGACTGGCTTCCGCCACCGGCCTCTCTCCTCACTCGCACCGACCCTGGAAGAAAATATTGCACATTGCAACCATCGATTTCATATTTATTTATTTTTTAGACAATGTAACCTTAATTTTTGGCTTTATTAGACTTCCTATTCTGTTTTCTGAACTTTAAAGTCTTTTAAGCGTATTTTCTAAGGTCTATCATTGATGCTCCTGGACCCTGCAATAAATATTTTGCATTAGTAAATCGTGTTTCATATTTATTTAAATAGTAAATTTTTTAAATTGTTTTAATTCGGTTTTGAAGGCTAGATTCGGATTTCTTAAGATTTTTTACAATTTTTGTTTAGTTTGCACTTTAGAGATTTTATAAATGAAATTTTGACGAGCTAACATTAATGAAAATTTGAGGTATGCATAACTGTGCTAAAATTCTATTAGAATATAATTTTTTAGATTTCCTGGCCGTTTTCAAGGGGTTTCAGGCTCAAAACTAAACAGCGTAAATGCGCAGCCTACCATTAATGCGTTTTTATATTTTTTCTAAAGTTCATATAGGCTAGATTAGGTTTTTTGGTCGTTTACGCACTCAATTTATATCTCGATGTTGGCCCTGTAACGATTTTCTTGAATTTTCACTCCATTTCAACCCCACAATATCTAATCCCCCCTCGCCTCAGGCCATATTTGCACCCCGTTCACCCCACCAAGAATCGAAATGTCCCCCATTCCGTTCTTTCCGCTATCACACAGTCCAAATGCTGCTGAGGGGGGCTCTCCCCCCTGGTCCGGTCTTTTGTGCACTTGAATAAATTCCTTTCCTTCCTTTCGGCAGCCGTTTCAGAGCGCTGCGCGCGCCGCGCTGGGACCTTGAAGAATTCGGAAGAGGGCCCCCACACCCCACTAACCATGCCCCCTGCAGTCAGTGTTAAAAGGTGCGGGGATTCGGAAAAACGGTGGGGCCAAGGCTTGGGGGTTGTGTGTGTTTGTGTATTTGAGGAGAAGGGCCCTCTCAACACCCCCCATCGATCCCCACGGCTAAGCCAGAATTCGGCAGTCTAGTCTAACCACTCAAATCGGGTTGCGGGGCGTAAATTAGGAAAAAGTGGAACCAGGTGTTGAGAGGAGCGCGGCGGAATAAAACGTTTTTGGGTAAATACAGGACCAGGTCCGATTTTTGAGCTTTAGAAACTGATTTATATTTATTTAAGACAATGTTTATATATTTTAAAGCATATTAAACTGCTCTAAGCCTTTTCAAATGTTAAAAACAAATATTTAGATAATTGACAGCGCGGTTCACATTTTGAGCTTTAAAAGATGACTTACATAATATAAAATTAAGTTTTAAATATTTAGAGATATATAAAATATTGATAAAGACTTACCAGCTGTTAAAACTGCGAGTAAAAGAAGGAGGGACCACCGGCGGGGACCTCCCCATGAGGAGGGACCCATCTGAAAATATGCTAAATTTGCGTTAGATACTGTATTTGCGCATAGGAGGAAATATGTAAATTTAAGAACAATATTTAAATAGAGGAAAAATTTAGAGTTTAATGCATTAATGATAAATACAGTAATCAGATTTTTAAAAACTGAACAATCATCGCATCGATGCGCTGAATTCAAGGCATAAATTCAGCACTGGTGCATTAATGATAAGTATAGTATTTAAATTCCATTAAGGATCATGCACTGCTGATAGCCGCAGAATTACGGTATTTCAAAAATTCATAAAAATCTTCAATTCCCTTTCCCCTATAACAAAACGGCCTTCACCACACCTCCATCCCCCCAAAAAAAGGTGGCACGCCGCACAGATTCGGCAACTAGAAATCACCGAATCATGCATAATTTGTGGCAAGACGGGAACCTGTTGCTCCTTCTGTTGCTCCTGCTCCTCCTCCCTCTCCTCCTCCTTCTCCTCCCCACCCCAGCCACCCCCACTGATAATGCATTTTCCGGCGTTGAACCGTCCAAAAATGAAGCTGCTACGAGGGCTGAGAGGGGGGGAGGCACCGTTTTTTGGCACTGTCAACGGCGGGAAGATGGGCAGTGGGTGGGTGGGAACAGCCTGATGGGAGCCAAAAATCGGCAAAAAATGATGATTGAAACTTGGAGGAAGTAGAAGGATTTTTCAGGGCGATGACTTGCAATCTAGAGAAATTTATTAGCGAACAACGAGGAAGCGAATTACGAATCAAATTAGAAATTTAGAATTTGCAATTTCGACTTAAAAACGAATAAAAAAATCAAAATAACGTTAAAAAAGGTGCTAAAAGCATGGTTTCAAAAATTGAAGACAAAGAACGGCTTGTGGGATTCGATATATTGGATTCAAATACCAGAAAAAAACGCTCAGGGGCATCTGGCGTTTAAGGAGTTGGTTAAAATCATAAAAATAACGGTATGGTCAGAAAGCTGGTTTTAATGATTGGAAAGGCTTTGAAAGAGAAGCTTTCAGGGTTTTAAATATGCTTGAAAGAGCATAAATAGCTCTAAGAGAAGTAGTCTTAGACGGAAAACTGATAGCGAATAACCTCAAACTTGGGTAATTGAAACAAAAAGAGGTGTCTGTGGGGAACGAATCTCAGATTTTGTGTTTTCAAATATTATTTTAAAATAGCTCGGATAGAATTTCTTTTAATCATCATAATATCAGTTAGTAAAAATAGATATTCCAAATGGAGAATTGACCGGCCGCAAAATAGCTCCCTGTGGGTCTGGCCCCTCCCCGGAAAAGCCGATGCAAATTTTCTCCGACTCGAGCTGTACCTCCACAAGAGGACAGCTCAGGTCATCAAAAATTCGCACCGACTTCCCGAGGGAACGGGCGTTTAATTTTTATTTGAGTACGGCTATAAAACCCGACTGCCCGGTTCCCCTGTCGCCCTGACCTCAGTCCGGGGGGTGGTCCAGATGGGGGGGCGAGTGGGGACAGGCCGGGAAGCATCCGCTGAACACACAGCCAGTAGCCCCCCTGTACCCTATCGCCCTAATCATCATCGGTTTTCATGATAACTATTCAGTACACAATCCAGATACTAAGATAATTTAATTTATTATTTTTAAAAGTTGAAATACACGTGAACAGGCAGATACTGAATTTAGGCACTGGTGATGGATAAAAAAGCGTAAATATTTTGAAAAACGCATCAATATAAAAATAATAATATAAAAATGCAAGCAATTTGTATAAAAATAATAAGACCGATGGACAGGCCGTTTTTTAGGATTTGTAGAGTTCAGCAGATCCAAATTTTGCGGGTTTTTTTGAAAGCAACGCGAAACGGAAGCAATTTTTAAAAATTCAACGTTAAAAATTTAAATAGAAAGCTTATTCTTTTACGAAAAATTAATACAGTTCTATTTTTTCGAATGGAAAATAAAAAGAAAAGCGAAATATTTAAATACGTAACTAATTAATTAAAATTCTAGATCTCATTTCTCTTATCAATTCCATCATCACACAATTCCTAGTCACAAGCCCTAAACCAGCCCCTAGCAAAAAAATCGATGACGCCCCATCAAATTCCAGGGGGCCAAAATTGCAGAGGGCTTCTCTTAGGCGTGTTGCGCCTCAGTCACTAGGCTCTGACTCAACACACCCAAAATCCAGATAAGGGACTGTCCAAAAGCGGGGAGGGGCAACCCCAAAAACAACATAGTCCTCCCCCCTCACAATTGGAACATCCGGCATCCACTCAAAACATACAAAAACTGGGTTGTTTTCCGTTAATTCTCCTGCTCCGCTGGAATGCTCATGCTCAGCCTAGCCTTAACCTAAAATGGGTAAGATCTTACTTTATCTTACTTTTTAGTTTTCTCGCTTTTTAAATGTTATTTTTGTTGTTGCCATCTATATTTTATTTTACGTTATTTCCGGCTGAAATCAAAAGTCCTATTCTATTTTTTGACGCTCTATCGAATAACGTCAATGAAAAATTTGTAAATAATCGCAAAAATGTCGAAAATAGCTTTTTAACCCTATTTTTAAAAGGTTGTTTTTGGTTTTGCTAGAACTATTTTATTTTACGGCACTTCGGGCTTAGATTAAAAATATGAGTGTAATTTTTTTTGATGCCGTATCGAATGACGTTTTCAGAATATCCAAAAAAAAACTGCGTTGTCGAAATCACGTGTTTTAAAAATATTTAATCTTTTTAAGGTTAGTTCTATACTTCTTTTACATTACAACTATTTTGAGCTGCAAATAAAACTTGGTCTGAGGGAGGGGTAAACCTAAGTTCAGCCTTAATAATCTCCAAAAATCGTTAAAAACAATCTAAAATTTTCTAAAAAGTTTTGCGAAAAGCGCAAGCGACCTCAACCTCAACCTTTCGGTGCGAGCGAGTGGAAAAACGCGTAATCTCGAAGAGCAACTTCTCGGGGCTCCCCAACCAACTTCCAAAACAAACAATAGAGATGAGGAGGGGCCAAGCGAAGGCACTGTGCAGATAAATACCAGCAAAAAGACTGAGAAAATGCTTGTTCTTGCTGATAAGAAATGTAGAAAACGCTAGGCGACTCTCTAAGTAAAGGGGGTGTAGTTTTTTGGAAATAATTCTGGATTTTTGAGGATTTTTAAAGTGATATTCGATAGAAGCTTATTCGATAGAACTTGAAATTTTGAATAAATTCCCGCTTTAAAAATTGGGAAATTGTTGTCGAATTTCGAAAAAAATGGCTTTAGCGGGATTGATTTTACAGGTTTTTTGTGTACTCAAAAAATTGGAATTTGATACATTTTCCCAGGGATCCGGTAATAGTTAACATTTTTAGAAAAGTGGGGTTTGTTCAGAATTTTAAGCTCTATAGTTTTTTAACAATTATCACCCCTTAAAAACCAAGGAAAATTGTTGCATTCCAAAAAAAAACCAATTTTATTGGTTTTCTCGATTACTCCATGAAATTCGTGCTTTCAGGCACTTTTTCAGGAATATGGTAATCGTTCGACAGTTTTTTGAAAAGCGGGCTAGCATCAGAATTTGAAATTCTATTAATTAAGCTATAGATGGTAAAACGAACGCTTATTTCTATCCAAAAACAACAAACAAAAACAACCGCGAAAACCCAGCTACCCCAAAAATCTCGCAAGATGCATTGGAATGGAAAGAGACCCTGATTGCCGGGCGTTGCTAGCTGGAAAATTGGAGAAAAAGGAAAATGTATAGAAGGCATTGATATCAGGGGGGGAGATGGGGGGAAGGGGGCAAAGGGTTTTCAAGGACAATGACAAGAAGCAAAGTGTGAAAAATACGGTGGAATGCAGCCGGGGGAGACGGTGGAAGGGGTGGATATCTGAGAGGAGGAGCAAGAGAGCGGGGGAGAATGAGAGAGCTAGAGAACGAGAGGGGGAAATTAGGATAGATGGATGGGGATGGTCAATGGAAGCTGGCTGATCAAGAAGGAAGGAAGGGGGGAGACTGCAAATGGGGGGCGAGAAGCCTGTTTATGTTGATTGGAATTAGGTGCGTGGGGTACTTGAAAATTGGAATAGGAAGAGGAGTGAAGAGAGCATTTTTTTACAGATTTGCAAAAGGTGAAAAAACCATTTTAATAACACTTGACGAATCAAATACAATTTTTAAGGCAAAATTAGCCAAAAAAGATTCGAAATTTGAATTTTTCACTATCAATGTTCTAAATTATACAAAAATTAATTGTGGAGCTTAGGCTTTACAAAGATGTAAAAAAACAGGCAATGACAATTTAGAGCAATGTAAAAACAGATATCAAAAAATTAGGAGAATGTTTAAGTTTCCTACAGCCTTTTATCAATACTTACAGTGTTCATTCCAAAAAACCCAAGGATTTCAAGCTGTATAACCTTTTAACGAGATTATATGATATATTAAATCAATGAAAAAAGGAAAAAGTAAAGGCAAAACAACAAAAAATGAGATGAAAATAGACCCAGGATTACGGTAGGCAAGCAAAACTATCGAAAAATCTCAAAAATCGCATAAAAAATTGAAGATTTACGGCCAAAAGGAAAATGTTGATTATTTATCACCCCCGTGCAACATATTGTCCCCTGCCCAGCAAATGCTAGTGAAGGTGGCGCGGGCGGCGCTGGGCGCGGGCGGGATTGCTGAGAGCTGGTGGCGGTGGTGATGGTGGCTGGGAGGGGCGGGTATGGCTGGGTGTGGTCGAAGAAGGAGAAGAACGAAGACGAAGAAGAAGAAGAAGGAAAAAGACAGAAAGAGCGAGAGAAAGGGAAAGACCTCTACGCCATCCATCAATCGTCCCACAAAATGTGTCCCTAACGATACCTTAAACGGACAGCAATCAGTCCAAACCCAGGGGGTTAGAAGTGAAGGCCACCCCAGGGTAGTGAAGACCCACCATATCGACCCCACCCTATTCGATTCTTCAAGTCGGTCGAATTCAAATTTTTGCCAGTAATGCGTACTTCTAAAACCTATATACACACGAATTTTAGATACTCTAGA